TTATAATCATGGGCGGGAACTCATGTTGATGACGTTGGCGGCTTCATAGTTGTCCTGTTCTCGTTCTGCATTTCGGCATTGTTTCCTCACCAACTTTCCCCACTTCCTGTTGAGGGTATTTTCCATGTATTATCGGATCTACAAGCACGTGCTTTCAATCTTGGCAAAGATTGGTCCATGATCCTCTTCCAAGGTCTCTCTTCTTATTTCTTCAAATCGTTCTGTGGCTACTTCCAAGTGAAGGACGAATTCTCTACGTTGCCAATGGGATCGCCACTTTCACCTGTTATAGCGAATTTATATATGGAGTGGTTTGAAACTTTGGCCATTGAAGAAGCCCACAAGAAGCCCCGAGTCTGGTTAAAATACGTAGACGACACCTTCATGATATTGAACCATGGGAATGCAGAACTAGACACTTTCCTGAAGCACATCAATAACGTAAGGCTTTCCATCACTTCCACAATGGAGAAGAAAATCCACAATGAATTGCCCTATTGCCGTATTGGTGAAGAGGACCGACACTAAATGGGAAACATCTGTATATCGAAAACCCACCCACACAGGACCGTATCTGAACCAGAAATCCAACCACCATCAATCGATTGAGAGAGGAATCATCAAGACTCTACTGGACGGCGCTTCTGGCATCATCAAAAATGACCTTCAAGGGAATGGTTACTCCAAACTGATGGTAGAACAGACCTTAGCTAGAAGACATCAAGAACTCCATAAGGAAGAGAAGCCGCCACAATCAGTACTTGTACTTCCCTACATCAGAGGGAAGTACAAGTACTTCCCTCTGATGTAGGGAACTTATCGGTTGTTGGCAAGGCTCCGATAGACTTTATCTTTATAAAGACCTCTGCAAGAGGTGGACTATTTTTAATTCTCTAATAGTTGTTTTTAAAATTCTCTACGAATAGATTACAGTCTCTGTCTGTGAACCCATCTGATGAGAACCTCATTTTTTTGACTAACATTTTGCATGCCAAGAATTGTCTTTTTATATGTAGATATGAGTATTCTGCCTCCGCTAGAATTGCAGGACATGGAGAGGATCTAATTGCTCCTATACATATTCTAATTGCATTCTATCTATAGAGGTTAAATTCGTGAAAGATGATGAAACATACATCACACATCCATAGTCGACGATAGAGTGTATATAAGTCCTATAAAACATTAGTGCTATTTTTTTATTTGCACCTTGCTTGTATCTGCTACAATTTTAACATGTTCATACCTTTTTCACATTTTTTGCACATGCTTATGAGACGTCTAGGTAAGTTTTCTGTCCAAAATCATACCTAGATACTTATGCTCGTGCTTCACTGCACGAGCAAATCTAGATCTATGCAAGACGTTGTCGAAATCTCTCACAAAAACTTGTCTCTCACGATATAGTTCGATAATCCTGCAGGCAGCCTTTATATCGATACCAAAGTGATTCAACTTCTCATCAAAAATATTCAAGTCCACACAATCATGTGGTCCTTTCATGTCCAAGAAAGAGCAGGCTAATATCGCATCATCAGAAAAATTGTTTTGGATATCAGTAAGTATATATGCTACGGCATCAATTGTGGCCAACCTCTTCGAAAACCAGACTGATAAACTGAAAGTAGATTGTTTTTCACATGTAATTCCAATCTCAACATCCTCTCAAAAATTTTTGTTAGTCGTTTTGTTGTAACCACATTCTAAGCCTTGATAACTCATGCCGAAGAAATCTTACATATTTTTTCCAGTGCGATGCCCATACAAAAAATATGGAATAATAACTCTTTTTCCTAGAATTCCACCCCAAACATTCAGTGACCAATGCTGTTGATGGTTCAGGCAACAAACATAATCGGGGTTTTCCGTTGCATAATAATGCATGTTATGCTGATTCACAGTTTCATTTACAAGAAAAGTCGCTTCATCAGAAAATAAAACAAAATCGGAAAAATAATTTTTCTGATTGATCTTTTGTAAGCCCCATCGGCAAAATTGAACTCGTTTTCCAAAATCTCTTCCTCTTAACTCTTGCATCAATTGCATGTGATAAGGATGAAATTTGCTTGCTCGTATCATTCAAGACACACTTGTTTGAAAAAATCCTAATTCCCTGCTGAGGTCTCGAGTTAGGTTAGGTTAGGTCCAAAGTGAGTGGGTCTATTCGACCCTCCATCGAAACCCGCAAGGAGGTCTATTGGAGTCGTAAACTCGACATCCATCTCCTCTGTAGACTAGCTCCTGAACTAAATTTACAGGGAGGTCAGTTGGAATCGTAAACTCGACAATCATCTCCTCTGTAGACTCGCTCCTGAACTAAATTTACAGTTAGGTCCGTTGGAGTCGTAAACTCGACATCTATCTCATCTATAGACTCGCTCCTGAACTAAAAATTCACAGTGAGGTCTGTTGGAGTCGTAAATTCGACATTCATCTCCTCTGTAGACTCGCTCCTGAACTAAATTTATAGGGAGGTCCGTTGGAGTCGTAAACTCGACATCCATCTTCTCTGTAGACTCGCTCCTGAACTAAATTTACAGGGAGGTCAATTGGAGTCGTAAACTCGACATCTATCTCCCCTGTAGACTCGCTCCTGAACTAAATTTACAGTGAGGTCTGTTGGAGTCGTAAACTCGACATCCATCTCCTCTGTAGTCTCGCTCCTGAACAAAATTTACAGGGAGGTCAGTTGGAGTCATTAACTCGACATCCATCTCCTCTGTAGACTCGCTCCTAAACTAAATTTATAGAGAGGTCCGTTGGAGTCGTAAACTAGACATTCATCTCCTCTGTAGACTCGCTCCTGAACTAAATTCACAAGGAGGCCCGTTGGAGTCGTAAACTCGACATCCATCTCCTCTGAAAACTCGCTCCTGAATTAAATTTACAGGGAGGTCAGTTGGAATCGTAAACTCGACAACCATCTCCTATGTAGACTCGCTCCTGAACTAAATTTACAGGGAGGTCCGTTGGAGTCGTAAACTCGACATCGATCTTCTCTGTAGACTCGCTCCTGAACCAAATTTACAGGGAGGTCCGTTGGAGTCGTGAACTCGACATCCATCTCCTCTGTAGACTCGCTCCTGAACTAAATTTACAGGGAGGTCCGTTTAAGTCGCAAACTCGGCATCCATCTCCTCTGTAGACTCTCTTCTGAACTGAATTTACAGATAGGACAGTTGGAGTCGTAAACTCGACATCCATCTCCTCTGTAGACTCGCTCCTGAACTAAATTTACAGGGAGGTCAGTTGGAGTCGTTAACTCGACATCCTCCATCTCCTCTGTAGACTCGCTCCTGAACTAAATTTACAAGGAGGTCCGTTAGAGTCGTGAACTCGACATCCATCTCCTCTGGAGACTCGCTCCTGAATTGAATTTACAGGGAGGTCAGTTGGAGTCGAAAACTCCACATCCATCTCCTCTGTAGACTCGCTCCTAAATTGAATTTACAGGGAGGTCAGTTGGAGTCGAAAACTCCACATCCATCTCCTCTGTAGACTCGCTCCTAAATTAAATTTCACAGAAAGATCAGTTGGAGTCGTAAACTCGACATCCATCTCCTCTGTAGACTCGCTTTTGATCAAAGTTTACAAGGAGGTCCGTTGGAGTCGTAAGCTTGACGTCCATCTCCTCTATACTTAGCGTCAGAAAGAATTTTTTTAGTTTACTCTGTCCAGAAAGTTCCCACGAGTAGCTAGGGAAAGAAGGTCAATCACGACAGAGCCCCGCATTACCGTGACAAGGCGATGCTACGACGAGAGTGCGCTCGGTATCTCGAAGGTTCCGTAGAGACAGCTAATAGGCTCAGTGTCATTCATCCTCTCGGCACGGATACACACACCTCAGGATTAAGCCATCGTTGGGATGCCACTCAGTTAGGAAATAACAGAACCACAAGTGATTCTGTCATTCCCGTATCCAGCGGGGCTACGTGGAAGCAGGCATCCGATGGCCGGTTTGTTCAACCCCCACATCCCAAGCCAATGCACTCGCCGAAAACAGCATGTCCAGGCAGTGAAAGATGAACAAGGACAGCCAACCCGCCCAGGTCTCGGGTACTCACATGGGAATTTTAAACAATGTGAAGAACAATTTGAAATGTATTATAGGACAGACACGTTCGAACTTCTCGTGATTGACATTACCAGTTCTTTGAAATCTTGTTTTTAGAGCTTGAAATACCTTATACGGTTGTTTTCTTTCGGGGAACTTCTCTTTGTAAATTCTAGAAGACAGTTTCCGTCACTTTCTCCAAAGCATAGACTATTTTCACCATAGTTTCCAATACACCGAGAACACGGACGAAATCCAAGAAAACAGCTCATCATGCTCGGAAAGCTTGAACCTATATTCATCCAAGACCATAAACTATCAATGAGATATACTTCACCTCTCGGATTCCATCGTGTGATCCTTTCTGTAAGGGTGTTTGGAAAGGCTCCCTTTTGATATAAAAAATCAACTTAATGAATCCCTTGATTTTTGTAGACTGAAAAGGCTACTTCGTTGCAATTTAAAAAAAATTTATAAATCACTTCAAATATAATCTATAAAAATAACGAAAGTACAAACTATATATACATATCTACAGGCACCTAATATATTGCATTTTGAAACGAATTTTCAGAATTTCTCATATTTTTCATTTTTCGAGGAACGAACCGGTTGCAAATCATCTAGTAATGGAATAGGAACAACTGGTAATTTTTCTAGAAAATTTTCAATTTCGTCTTCAATTTTTTTCCTTGTTTCACTCTGGGCTTTCATTCTGTTCAAGGCCATTTTGGATGAGAGGTAAGTGGTATTGACGATTTTGTTGATAAAGTTGAAGACGGCGTCATCGGCAGGTCTGAATATTGAGAATCCATTGTTTGGGCTGCTATAATGAAAGAGACGTTATTATTTGTTATAAGAAAGTAGGATTTCCTAGATGATAGTTATTTACATATAGATGGTCTAATTTCTTTTTCGGTTTCAAAATATTTTCATTTTTGACTCACGCGAGTACAGACAGACAGTCATAATAATAATGTTTATTTCAAATAGAAAAATCAATACAATCAATAAATATAGAATAATAAACATATATGCTCACAGAAGCAAGGGGTTGCTTGTGCGTGAGTGAGAAAAAGTAACTTGATATTTAGTATACATGATATAGAAACATACGTAAACGGTAAAAATAGATGAATATATTGACAACACTTATAATTGAAATATATACAGTAAAAGCGAAAATAACGATAACACTTATAACTAAAATATATACGGTAATAATGAGGAGTCATATTCGAGAAATTCGCGTCAGAATCGGGGTATTTTGTCGAAAGCGGAAACTTCACTATTCAATTTGAGTATTGAATACACTAAAAGTGAGATTGTCATATTCGAGAAAATTTTATCACAATCGAGGCATTTTGTCGTAATCATAAATTTCATCATCATATATTCAGATTAGAGTATGGAATAATATATGATTTACAAAAATTATGTTTTCATTGAATTTTGTTGTTGACTATATCACTAAAAAACAGTCTTCCAGTGGTTTGCATCCAAATTTTTAATTTATGTTTGAATGAGTTAATGTTGGTAATCAATTTAAGTTCAGGAGGAAAATGATTGTACAATTTATGACCTAAGAAGCTTGTACATCGTTGTATTGTACATAAGATTGTACATTTTGTACAATGAAATAAATAAGCTAACATTTTCATTTTTTACGAAAAAAGTAGTTATAAAATATTGCTTTCTTTCATCATCATATATTCAGATTAGAGTATGGAATAATATATGATTTACAAAAATTATGTTTTCATTGAATTTTGTTGTTGACTATATCACTAAAATACAGTCTTCCGGTGGTTTGCATCCAAATTTTTAATTTATGTTTGAATGAGTTAATGTTGTTAATCAATTTAAGTTCTGGAGGAAAATGATTGTACAATTTATGACCTAAGAAGCTTACATCGTTGTATTGTACATAAGATTGTACATTTTGTACAATGAAATAAATAAGCTAACATTTTTATTTTTTACGAATAAAGTAGTTATAAAATATTGCTTTCATCATTCTGAACCTCTTATTGCTGACACAACTTCCAAAATTTCAGCTGATTGGTAATGTCAATATCTAAAATATAAATAAATGTAGTGGATTTATGCGTTATGATCAGTAATTTCTTTATTTTCATGTCAATCACTGCCATCTATCTTTTACTTATAATTCATTGGCACACTTACGGAGTAACGATATAAAATGAAGGATGGTATTATTCAATTGATGAAATCAACAAAACATTTTTTATAGCGATCAGATTAACATAACAATCTTGATCAGAAATTCTGTTTTCTGTGTGAAACATATTGTGTTTATAATTTGTGGAATTAGTAGTAACCTCAAATACATAGCTTACAATTTTTCATTTGTCGACATCTATATAAAATTTTAATGGAAGTAAGACCAAATTACTTTCTTGAAAATACAGAAAAGCGGATGTGTTGTATTTTATATGATCATATACTTAATGCGGAGTTCTGTTCAATATGTTCGTGAAGCTGCATTTGCAAGTGGAATGAGAAAATTTTCGAAATATTCAAAACTTGGTGAAATAGGTCATTGCAAATCATTTTCGATAATGAAGAAATCGACATCAGCATAAAAATATTGACCAAAACATCAGAAAAGCTGGCTTTCAAGTTTTAGAATAATTCTACAAAAATCAATTGTTTTCCACTTCATTTGTGAAAACGTAATTTATTTTATTTAAGATATGCTCTGATTTATTCATTCATAATAATCAGTTCAACATCATGTTTTGATGTTAAATTGAAAAAAATACCTAAACCTATAATATGTATTTGATGAAAATATTTTCTTTCGAAATTACCAGTGTTTTTGTTAAGTTATGTACTTTCAGATGATGTTAATGCAAAGTAGGTTTATCTCTATCATGGAAAACTTCGTCAGAAAATGCGAATAACTGAAAAAAATATTTGAAAATAATTTTGAATATTTCCAAAAATGTTTACGTGAAATTTCGAAAAAATGTAAAATGTACTGTTACATTATCAAATGAACTAAGTGTACATCTTTGCAACATCAGATATTGCAAAATATATTCAAACATTATTTGTTTCTGAGTGTTGAATATTACGTTTGGAATGGTTTTGGCTATACTCGTTAGTGTATTTCCACATGGAATTGGAGTAATAGATCATTTTCAGGTGTCGGTTCCACAAGTGTACATAATTGAGTCGGTTAAAAGTGCAGATTGTATAAAAATTTTCTCACCGAATATCCCTCGAACATTGATAAATAACTCATAATTTTATCACAACTTCCTCAAGCACGTTATTTTAGGTAACATCCCTCCGCCTTCGAAGTCGGGATGTTACCAAATAACGTGCTTTCGAAAACTGTGATAAAATTATTCGTTAGTTATCAATGTCCTTGGGATATTATAGCTGATAACTATATATCATGGAATGTAAAATATACCTTCTGTTTGGGTTTTTTGTAGGAATTTCTATGGAATCGTCATCAGGGTACGCTGTAGTGACACTTCTTGAGAATACAGTAGATATCTGAAAAAATCAACAGTTGAATGAGAAATGTCGTCATTTAAGATACAGGGTGTATCTTAAGTGACGTTATTCATTTCAGATGGTGATTAATTGTCATATTTTATGAAAACAAAAAAGTGAATATGAACGTGTGTCCTAATTTGCTTCATTATAGAGTAACAGGGTATCAGTGTTTTACTAAAAATATTATTTTTTCATTATTAACTCGAAAGTCATTCGCTGATTACACAAGGTGTGTTCGTTACCAGTAAAAAGTGGTTTTTTCATGACATCATATCACGGATAATATTTCCAGTGGCGTCACAAATTGATATTTATGGTAAAAATCATTGTACGCCACCGTTTTTCGCCAAATTTGATACTTTCATCAGATTGAACAATTAATAAAAAAAAAACTCGCATTGAAAGGTTCGTTTCTATACAAATGCACTGAATTGAAAAAAAATTCAGTTGTTTATTCTAAGGTTATTCTATAACATATTGCAAGTCAAGGTTCACATTTGGAGCATCCGATTCAATTAATTTTCCCTTCTACTCTGCTGTTTTCCGGATGGATTACAAACCAACCAGCTGATTGAATACGTCTTTCATCTACTATCAAACAGATTTTTATTTCAATATTTTTTCAAATGGCGACGAATATCAAAACAGATTTTTGAACTTAAATAATGCGTAACCCCATTTCTACGCCACTGACTTTGATTCGATAGAGTTTAAGTGTTTTGAATAATATCAAACTTGGCCAAAACAATGGCGTACAATGATTTTTACCATAAATATCAATCAAGTAAGGCTCTGCGACGCTGGAAATTAAAATTACCAATCTGATTTTATGAAAAGAATACTCTTGTTACTCATAACAAAGACACGTAGTTTGATCATAATCGGCGTGGATAACTGTGAGTGATCCATAAAAGAACAATATTTTTAGTAAAACCGTGACACCCAGTTATACTCCTAAACGATGCATGTTAGGACACATGCTTATATAAATTTTTTTCATAAAATATGACAAGTAATCACCACCTGGAATTAATTTCATGATTTACGATACACCGTTTCTTTCCGGGCTGTAGAAAAAGTTCAGTTCCATTCTATAAATTTCGTTGAAATCACTTGCCAAAATCAGTGTGAATAAGTGGTGGAAACGCCACCTCACATAACCAAGTTACATTTCAATGGCTGATATTCAGTAATATCTTTCTGTGTAATGTCTGAGAAGAAGATCTGATACCTAATATCTGAACAAGTTAATAAAATTCGCTTACACAATTTTCAATTGAAGTTGTTTATATACTTTTGAATAATTTGTTTTGGAGAAAATTCATCTAGTAATCGTTGTATCATCAATGTCATAAGTACCTTTCATTGCATAATCCTAATCACTTCAAACAATCGCTTTCTTTCCAAATGATAACCACGCTTGATCATCGCTTTTCTATAGCAAAATTATTTTGTTGAAATCTACAATTGATTTTCATTGAATATATATTCAAAATACAATAAAAATTATATTCGATAGTCTCCAATTACGGTAGATCTAAAATGTAGGTAGCAATTTGTCAAAAAAAACAGTCCAAATATTTTTTCGAAATCCAAATATAAGCCTGAATATTTTATGTATGCTTGGATGATGATGTGTTTGTGAGGATGTCCCACAGAGTTATATAGTTACGAGTATTTGATATACCTTGTACATTAGTTTATGTGTAATCTGAGTGAACATATACTATGAAATATTCAAAAGTTCATCCATACACCATCATAATTAGTTTTATATAATTTATATCCCCGCAGGAGGTTTAACATTTTTAAGTCATGGTCGCTATGAAAAGAGACATAATTCAATTAATAAATTCAACAACCTGAAAGACCGGATACAACAACATATTCACTGAGTTCAAATGGAAACAGGCGGATGAAATTAATGAATTTACCTAGTGATTCATTCTGAGTATGGTTTCCTTTCAAGACCAGATTAAGAAAAGGTAAATTATTCGAATCAATTTGACCGTACATCACATATTGAGAATTTTATGAATCTATTCATTTCCTTACTTTCCAGAATGTCCAGAGTGCAAACTTATCTTCTGGAAACGAACATTCTTGAATTCATGGTAGAAATTTTGTATCTGTTTAAGAAGGTGAAAACAATACGCTGGATTCATTTTTATATTCTGCAAACTGTTTCTAAGTTCTTTAATGGGAGCTTGAAATGTTCTTCCAGTTTGACCTATGTAAAACTTCGGAGAAAATTGACATTCTTACTTTTGCCACTTTCAATATTTCGTGCTTCAAATGTTCTTCCAGTTTGACCTATGTAAAACGTCGGAGAAAATTGACATTCTTACTTTTGCCACTTTCAATATTAATGCTCGATTCAAGTTTCAATATAATATCAAACCCAACATAAATTCAATGAACTAAGTAGTTTTTGGTTTACATATGAATACCGCCAAGGTTGCTGTAGAAATTTTGAAACCTGAATGGATAGAAATAGGTTGTTTCAATTCAGAGCCTGAACTAGTCAAATACAAATATAAATTGCATATCATAATTTTTTATACGAGATGGTGATGGCAAAACTGTCATTGATATGAGTAAATAAGAATATGTGGAGTAAACTTCAGATATTGAAGTTGATCATGATCTTACCAACACCAGAACTTTACTCATGAATCAAGTTATATAAAAAGCAACCCAATCAGATTGGTTGTTTCTTTTGTTACAGCACCTTCAGTTGACATATCATTATTTTTTGATGATATTGACATCCTGCTATTGAGTGATGTGAATACAACTGTTCGGAACCTTTGGTGTAGTAATGAATGTTATTTTAAACTTCCTCTGGGCGATGATTAATTGATGATTGAAACACGTGTCGAGGCGTTAAAAATAACTGTTTATTATTGGGATTGATGAAAATCCATATAGAAAATAATTAATACAGTTTATTGTATGATTTTCACTATAAAGGGTTTTACAAAAACCGCGACACGTGTTTCGCTATACAATAGTTTCCTCAAGCGCTTGTATAGCGAAACACATGGAGTATTGTAGTTTTGGTGTTTGGGAACAGTGCTTGTTATGGAATGAAGAACTGATATTCAGATATTCAGATTATCGAAGTCGGGAAATTCATTCCAAATTCGTAATTCCTCCATAACTTCTGAAAAATATTGGAATGTTCCATTCACTGTTGTTCGATTAACGCCTCATGTTTCTCAAACCCAATTTGAAAACTTGGATCATCAAAAAAACTTGAAAATATTTGCACTTGCGCTGAACTCAGTGCTCCTCCTCCTTTTTTTCTGTATTGTCTGAGAAATATTCTCCCAGCCACTCAACATTTACTATGGAAAATCTGTATCAGTCTTTTACATGACAATCATATCTTTTAGGACAATTTTTGTGAATTCTTACATTCTTCACCGGTGTCATTCCAATACCGTACCGTTTGATTTTCAAGGTGGTCCAAGAGGTACCTGGTTCAACAAAAGAAACACAAGAAACATACACTTACACTATACTATACACTTTTCCCAGCGAAGTTCAATAAGTTAGATACCGTTTTTATAATAAGAACTGTTTTGTTCCTCAAAATAGCCATTAATTGCCGACATCACTTCTTCCTCGTTGGGAAATCTTCAACCACTGAGCCATTTTTTCAAGTTAAGGAACCGAAAATATTTCGAAGGGGCTATTTCTGGCGAAGAGGGTGCGTGAGGTAGCAATTCAAACTTTAATTCGTTGATTTTGGTCATTGCGATAATGGATTTGTGAGCTGGTGCAGTGTCTTGATGAAACAGCACATTTATGTAGCCAAATGTGACCGTTTTTTTTTATTTCTTCACTCAAAGGTTCCAATAATTTCGCCTCATACTCGCCGTTAATAGTTCCACTTTTTTTAGGACAGTCAATGGAATTATCTCAGGCGCTTCCAAAAAAACCGATACCATGATCTTGCCTGCAGATTTCTTTGGAGCCAGTTCTCCCTTTCGAGTCCACAGTTTTGATGATTTTTTTTGTTTTGGGTGTGTAGTGATGGACCCATGTTTCATCTATGGTTTCATCAACTCTAACATAACGATGACAAATTTTCTCCATTTTCACAAATTCACCGAAAACGTTCACTATTGATGGCTGCCAAACAAGTACTAAAGAACGCAGTGTCTTCAAACTTCAAACATGTGCTGTATAGATTGTGTTCTTTCTAATGCAATGATATTTTTCAAACAACTACTGCCATCTCTAGGTCAGGCCCGGTACTTCTGGGACCATTCTGGTTATAATTTCCAACATCAAAATGAGAGGATTGAGATATTGGTAGTATGAACTCACAATATTTAGCATTTGCTGCCTATTATTTACACCAAATAAGCTGAAAAAATAAGTACATATTCATTGACATGAACTTAACCTTTTCTGGTCCTCTAGTTCTGATATGAGTAAAGTGAATGACTCACAAACATTCAGAAGCGAGCAATCACATCTATACATGTCGATATTAGATGCAACTTGCGAATTTGAAATATTTTTCGTTTGCTCCTGTGACAGTTTTATAATTTACGTACAGTTCATTGAAACTTGCGAAAAATGTAAGATTGTTCATTATATTTTGATATTTGATGCTAACTGCCTTACATCACTGGGCAGCTGAAGCAAACATTACCAACTTTAAATAAACTTGCTGGATATTTTGCTGCCTTATATATCGAAATTGATAATGACCTTCTGAAAACAAACACCAAACAGTTCAATCTTCCTCTTGAAGATGATCACTTGGTGACCGAAACACGTGTCGAGGTGTAAAATGACGATTTGGTGTTGGGAAAAAACTCCAGTAATATTCATTACTACACCGAAGGTTCGAAACAGTGCATCACATGAAGACAAGAAATTGGCTTTTGCTGGAAGGAGATATTTCTGACATGGATTCCTCAGCTGAAGAAGATACTGTTGATACCATCAATTCAAAAATGGATGATTTTGAAACTATTTGCATTTTCATATGACTAACGGGACTGCCGAAAGCCATGGTCGGGAACTTCTTAACATTATCTACCCAGAATACGAGACTAATGTCCACAGCAGTGAATGTCATTGACACCAAAAAAAAAATTGCCATTTACCTTTCCCTGAAGGAAACATCAGTTATAAGTGTGACAATTATATGAAACAAAAAGTTATATGATAGAGAAGATGAGGTACATTTGGTCATGTTTCATTCTCTGGGATTTCCCTGAAAGCTCTAGTGATTCATCGTTTCATGTCTTCTATAGATATTGGAGGAGTTTGATATACCCCAAAAGAAATCTTTTGGTCAGATCAAGTGATATGGGTGCCCACGCCACAGGCCCACCCCTAGCTATCCATTTTTGATTGGAATGATCGTTGAGGTATTCCCGTACCTCAGTTTCAAAACGTAGTAGTGCACCGTTTTGTTGTAACCGCATTCTAAGCCTTGATAACTCATGCCATACAAAAAATACGGACTGATAACTCTTTTTCCTAGAATTCCACCCCAAACATTCAGTGACCAATGCTGTTGATGATTCAGGCAACAAACATAATGGGGGTTTTTCGTTGCATAATAATGCATGTTTATATGATGAGTGGTCTTTCAGGTCAGATGGTAAGAGTACGGCTCTGCCGAACTCTAAAGACCTGATTCGGTCCCCAGCGGGGCAGGCACAAAGTATATGCTCTGTTAATGAGGTAGTCGAATAGTCAAGTTGCAAGATTCCCAACTTGATACCCACGACAACCTTCCCATATGAGGGTTTTTGTACGTCAGCTACACCTGCCGATGCCTTAGATTCAGCCGTGCAGGGCTTTTTCGCCTCTGGTTTTGGTGAGACCTCACTTGAGCGCAAACGTTTGCTAACCTGCTCATGGGAGGTTAGCTCCCCCACCTGAGACAGATTCTGCGTACGCCGCAGCTCTCGCTCCTGAACTAAATTTACATGGAGGTCAATTGGAGTCGTAAACTCGACATCCATCTCCCCTGTAGACTCGCTCCTGAACTAAATTTATAGAGAGGTCCGTTGGAGTCGTAAATTCGACATTGATCTCCTCTGTAGACTCGCTCCTGAACTAAATTTACAGTAATAATTTATAATACTCCATCAACTCACCAGAATTGAAATCAAAAAGGTAATTTCGAACACTTTCCACATTTTAATTTGAAGAAAAAAATGAGTGTCAACTAGAGACAATCGTTCGTGAATGAGACGACAAGAAGAAATACTTCAAACAATAATTGCATAATAAGCTAAAACAGTTTTGAATCAAAGTCAACCTTGTGTTACAATGGAAAAGTTATACAAATAAACAATGAAATGATATGGTCATTATTATTAGTCAGAATTGACGATATCGTGGTAGAATTCTTTGAAAAAATTCGCACCCTAATGCACATTTCATGTACGAGATAATATACAACCTCTCGCTAATTTTATGAACATTCATTCAATGCTTATTCCTCTTACTGCAATTGCCATGATTAATGACTAATTGAAACTAGAATGGTTGATCAAGGTCTATCAGGAAATAACAATAACAATGTTTAAACCATGATAAGAATTATTACATTTATCGTATCAATAAAATACAAGGAATATTTCTTTTGTTTGTTAATAGACACTCAATGCTACTGACCTTATATTTCCATGAGATACAGGCAATTCGATACAGGAAGTTGAAGTTCAAAAGCGTCAACATCTCAAGTTATTCCAAATTGTAAAGAACAACACGATTTTCATTTCAAAAACTCAAGAAATTTTGGGACCTGTAATTATTGCAGTCGTTCATTGGAATTGAGTTTGTTCAACAATTGATCTAAAAAGTAAACTACGAATTATCAAAAATTTCCAACACATAAAAAAATCAAATGAGTTTCGAACCAGATAATTCATAACGTTGCATTTCTAGTATCCTCGTTATTTTGGCGGCATTTGAAATACTGGTTTTAATAATAATAATGATAGTAATGTTTATTGCAGTACAAACAGGTGAAATATAAAATATTTTTACATTCTAAGGTATTTCGCTAAGGAAAATAATTTCAGTGCTAATAAACAATGATTCCTGCTAAGGCAGAGCCAGTGCGCAGGAGCATGGTTATTAAGATAATCCTGATTTGGAGAATACAAAAGATGTAAAGTAAGGGAGAAAAAAAATTATTAAAATATAAACATGCACATAAAGGTTAAAAATCAACTTTTCGACGAAATTCTGTCCGATTTTTAATCTATTGTTGACAAATGGATTTGCAGGTAGTGGTTCCACTAGTTAATTACAGAAAAATCAATTAGGATAATCATCATTTAACAAACAAAGTCCTCATCGGACCAAAAAACTTCAGATATATAAATAGCTAACCCTTGGCTTTAGATTCAGTATCAATTTGCTTCTCCTGAAGATGCCAACCTTGTTAGCGAAACGCGCGTCGAGTGTAAAAATATCAGTTTGGTGTTAGGATAATTGATCTCTGGAATAAGTTTTCAAAAATCGGTTTGCAAAACCAATCACTACCTCACCTAACCCCACGAACACACGGCACTGATAAAAAAATATGGTGAAACGGACAAAAAATTAGCATCCAGCCAGCCAACTATATGGGCGACTAGGGGCCACAGGCAAGAAATGTTTATAACTGTACTCTTATTTTTATTGTCGTTCCAATTGGGAATGGATAGACTATAAACGGATGTAATTAGGATGCCCTGAGGAAATTGTTTGCAATCTGGAAAGTAGGATAGTACCTTTGACGTATAATGTAGAAGGAAGGTACATCAAAAACAGTAACCGATAGTCCGATATAAGTAATTTGATAATAATATATAATAATTTTCATGGTAGCTTCAAATTTCAGCTACATCGATATGTCTCTTCTTGTGAGTGACGATAATAATTGATTTGTATTCAATTGAATCACACTTCAGTCTTCGAATCAAGGTCAGTCATATAATTACACTTGAACGTTTTATTGATGATTCGTACACGCATTGTTATGGAATTATGTTTTCGTTTTATGATCTTCTGGTTATGGAATATATGTCTTATACAATAATCCGAAAAAAATATTTACATTCACCTTGCGTTCCAAAAATTTCATATAAGTGGTTGATATTCCACCTTATTTTTTATGAGTTTTATCAGTAATGAATTGACAATATCAACACCAATTTTTGGATATTATCGAGAAAAATCACAAGATGGCAATGAGTTTTGGTATTTCATGTCATGTTATATAGCTGATACAGAATTAATGTGAATGTTTTTTGGCATAAACGGGAGAACCATCATCAAAAGTTTGAGCTAAGAAAATAAACGGAAAACTAATTCAACAGACTAGGCTATGACTCCGATCATTAACAGGAATACTCATTGGACCTTGCTCATTTACTGTACAGGAAACCCTATCGCGAAGGTGATCTTATAAAGAGACAAAGACAGTTATGCAGGTCTTATGAGAATGTCAACATCCAAAATTAATTTCAGATATTTGTATAGCATAACTATATGACAAAGTTATATCTTGTACAGTGCAGAAATCAAAGAAAACAGTTGTTGGCACATACAGCTGTATTATTTCTGTAAGACTTGGGAAAAATGGATGAATTTGCGTTACAGAATTTGTTATCACACCTGTACGATAAACTTGATGAACTAATATCTTTCCGCACAAACATGATGGGATCATTATACAAGCCGTATTTTTTAGCTGATACCACTATTGCTATCTCGAAAACGGTAGATCCTAAAAGGACGGTTAAATGAAACAAAAGTTGCCTATTTAGGGATGCAACACATTTGTATTTTCAGATCTAGAAAATCATCAACGGTTTCTGAGATATTTGCAAAAACTGAAAATTGATCTACTGCCTCAATTTTCAATAGTATCAAAAAATGACTAGAAAACTTTTTGCTTTATTTCATGTGCTTTATAATCTGGGTGAACTCATTTTTCAATGCAACGTTTCGTTCATTGAATTCCATTATCAATTTGTTTTTTAAGTACGAATTTGTATATTGTTTTATACATTTTCGTAGTCATTATAATCACAAATTCGTTTACATATCACAACATATGTATTTATCAACGTTTCTTCCCGAAACCACATCATCAATATTCTATCATTTAACTTTTTTTATTCGATGAGAAATCAAATATCAAACTATTATTGTCACACATAGTTAACACTATCGTTAATACATCACATTGAAAAAAAGATAGTTCCGAAAAAAAATGTAACGATATAATAAATGATAGAAAATGAACACTAACGGGATGTCTCACGTTACATTTTTTAAGTTACCGTCTCACGCGATATCGGATCAAATGTTCAAATTGTCTTTCATCATTTCTTAAACAAATACTTACTCTAGAAATAGTGTGCTTGTGGCAGTTCTCTAACACCTGTGGAGTGAAAGCGATGCAGGCACTCCTTATTGAATCTTTCAATTCTTCAATATTTTCAAAATTTGATCTGAATACTTGATCTTTTATGAAGCTCCACAACGAAAAATCTAGAACGATGAACGTGATGACTACCTTCCTGGCATAGTTGTAAAGAGGAAATCTCTGCAGATTCACCTGCGATGTGGTGTTGGAAATACTCATATTTTCTCATGAGGCTGAGTGGCAAATCTTTCAATAACTCAATTAGAGTCCCTGGTAAAAAATCCAAGTATAATTCTCCGGTCAGAGATGTTTCATCGTTTGGCGGGAATTGGTCATTTTTCGCTTGATTAAAGGTTTCCATATGTTACGTATCTCTACGCTGGCTTGACTAAATGCGATATTGGACAACATATACGCGGCTTCTTTGAATTTTCTCCTGAACCAGTGTTCCTCTTTATGGATGATTTCAACTTGAGCCCACTTGATGTTATGTTGATGAGTCCCAACATGCTCTGCTATTCCGGATTTGCTGGTTTCTCCTCGCTGTGTGTGTTTCTAGTGCTCAGCAATGCAAACTTTCAATGGCCTTTTAGTTTCACCGATGTATGATTCTCCGCACTCGCAGGGTATCCGGTAAATGCAATTCTTGGGATCGCAGTCCGCGTTTGGTGGCCTGATTTTCGTGAGGCTGCTACGGATAGTGTTCCCAGATCTGAAACAGGTCCTGATGTTATACTTGGATCCAATCCTTTTAATCTTTTCCGATAATCCTCTGATATAGGGAAGTACAAGTACTGGTTGAGAGAGAGAAGAGAAGCCGCCACAGTGCAGAAAAATATGCATATAAACTTTGGTGTTAGAACCGATTCGATTTGATTTAGTCAAAATTTCTCGACGCGAGAAACTTGATTGATTCAACTTTGTACTCATTATATGAAAAATCACGAATTCCGTACAATGACTGTTTTCGTTATAAATGTTTACTCAGGAAGGAGTCCAAGTAATTATTAATTTATTCATTTATTTATTTATTCAATACATCCAGCAAGCCAAAAAGCCCATTTAAAGGTGTATACAATTAGAAATATGATAATTATACATTTAGTATGCCATGGTATTTCTATCGATCTTGAAAAAAATAAATTTGAAAAACTGTGATCCAGTTTATTGATTAGATTTCAGGCAGAATCATTTTATATGAAAACCTGTCACGGTGATTCAGAAAATTGAAAATGTAATGTGTAACTTTCTGATGGGGATATCAAAAGTACTGAGCTAAGGAATTTCGCGCAAGTTATTTGACATTTGAATGAACAGATAAAGAAATCCATCATACTGTTGGACATTCTTCATTCTTCGAATCAATTTTCAACTGATACACCAGAGTTCAGAAATGAAGTGATTCTATGTAACAAAAGGATATGTTGCTATATAGTTCTTGGAAACACAGATGATCATAATGCTCATTTTTCGAAAAAAATATCAATGCTGAATATCTAATTACACATCAGTAGGTACAATACATATGTAATGTGATGCTCGGTTTATTTTTTAATTATATAAATTCGTAGATTCTGAGATTTTTTTGAGTGATGATTACTACTACCGCAGGAATCTCCAGATTTCGGGACTACTTGAATAATGAAAATTGGTCGGAAATGTATGCACTAGACTGTCCAAACTTGGCCTTTTCTCCGCTTCAACCTATTCAACTAATGTATTAATTTGCTCTCTGATTCTCTTTTGAGTTGCAATATTTTATTTCCTGTAGGATAGAAGATTAATGATTCTGAAGAAATCGCGGGAAAAACATTTATTGCTCTTCAATTTCATCGACTGTGAGCAAGAGGGTGTTATTGGATATATTCAACATGGGCTGAAATGTCCCGGACCTGAAAAAGAAAATGCTTTTTTATGTTCAAAATTGGCTTTATTTATCAACGTAATCTCCATAAAAAGTCACACAATCATTCCAGCGCTGCTCTAACATTTCAATACTACTTTTGTAAAACGATTTATCTTTTGCCTCAAAATAGTTCCCAGTTTCAGCAATAACCTCGTCATTCGAGCAGAATTTTTTACCGGTGAGCATTTTTTTTGAGGTCTGCGGACAACCAGTAGTCGCTGGGAGCCAAATCTGGCGAATTCGGTGGATGTGGGAGCAATTCGAAGTTTAATTCATATAGTTTGCCATTGTTTTGATTGACTTGTGACACGGTGCGTTGTCTTAATGAAACAATTTTTTTTTGCCATATGCGGTCGTTTCTTTGCAATTTCGGTCTTCAAACGCTCCAATAACGCTATATAATAATCAATATTGATAGTATTTTCCTCAACAAAGATGTCGTTGAATATTACCCTACGCACATCTCAAAATACCGAGGACATAACCTGTTGTGCTTTCGGGTGCTTCGGAGGAGGATCACCAGTTGCTCTGCACCCAGATGACGATCGTTTTGATTCCATAGTGGAGTGGTGGATCCATGTTTCATCCATTGTCACATATCGACACGAAAATTTCTAATTGTTATGTTGAAACTTGTCCAAACACTACTCAGACTCATCAAGACGTCCTTCTTTTTGGTCAACAATGACCTCGCGCGGCACCCACTTTGAACAGAGCTTTCTCGTAGTCGATTTCTCATGCGATATGAATCCAAAATATTCTTTTGATATCTTCAATATGTCAACTAACTTACTTTTTGATCATTCAAAACGATTTTCTGTTGCTACTTTCTCATTTGGACGTCCACTGCGTTCTGCATCTTCGGTGTCTCTATGACCACGTTTGAAGTCAGCAAACCAACGGAGTTGGTTTGCTGCTTTGCTAGAACAGTATTTTTCCCAGCAAGAAGCAGTGTAAATTGAAACACGAAATTGTTTTTGATTCATTGTTTTGAAAATAACAAAGTATTATCACTTTTAGTACAATAACTTATGAGTAGAATATCATGAAATTTCCATAGCGTTTTATCACTGAAAAAGTGGTGAATACAATGAGACTAGCACTATCTATGTGTTAGGCCCGGGACATTTCAGCCCATGTAGTATATATCAACAATGAAGGGTCATCTGTAGATTGAAGGGCGTCTGCAGATTGAATAATATCTGCAGAATAAGTCAGTTATCTTGATAAAACTCCATATTTGCAATATTATTTCTTATATTCAGCAGAAATGCTCACTTCCACACTAGGAAGTGTGGAAGTGAGCATTCAAGATGTGATTTCATCGGAAGCTTCTACTTCAGTTTATTGAAAAATAATCTCTTGTTTTCCCTACTTTCGATATACTTGAGAGGAAAATCAATTGAATCAAATTGAAATGAATAGATTTGGGAAGCTGAATACAGTTATTTGAATGAATGAATAGTTTTGCATAGAAGTGTATAATTCTTATTGCAAAGCGCTTTCGACTTTCATCATAATCAGTGTTCACCTTGAAGTAAGCAATCTAATTGAAAAGAAAGTTTTTTGTGAAAATTAAATTTTTTAAATTTTGAGGTTATGAATTTGGGAAAATTGTTGATGATTACTTACCCATTCGTCAGGTAACAGAGGGTATCCCAAAACGAGGACATAGTATATTTGTAAGATTTGATTTGTTCAAAACTAAGTTGCCTAATAACCAACGGAATACATGTTAGGTTAGAGTTTGAAGCCTTGTGGTTCGGTCAATATGTGATATGAATGGACAACTTGTGACAGAATGTGTCAACTCAAGTGTCGCTTTGAAAATGATGGTACCAACTTGAGGAGTGATCCGCTATGGATTTTAAATTTTTTTTTATTGTGAGGAAGCCAATATAAAATAGTTTCGTCTGAAAACTCATCAGTAATCGAGAATTCTTACAACAATCTGTTGCAAACCGCGATATGATTCTTTTCAAGATGTTCTTGACACATGTTGTACTTGGAATAATGGAAACGATGTTGAAGTGGAGAGTGGCTCATTGTACATTCGTTTAGTGAACTTTGTTCGGCTAATAGATACACTTATCAGGCAGGTCATGTATTTCTCCGTTGAGGTTCATCAAATAAAAAGATATCATCGATTCAAATTTCAATAGTTCATTTCTGGAGAATGAGAATAACATGATTCATACACAATTTTCCATTGATTCAATGTCATTATCAGCTAATTAGGAGGGGCAACATGAAAATAATGAAAGTCTAGAAAAAAATAGAGACGCTGAATTCACATAGATTATAGGAAGTATAATTTCAGTTCCCAATTTCTTTTGAAACATCATATTCATCTATTATGGACGATTCCAATTTGAAGTCACGTTATTATGCTTTCCCATTCATTCAATACTTTCTTTTCAATCAGATTACTAACTTCCAGGTGAGTACTGATGGTGACGAAAATCGAAAGCGCTCTGCAATAAGAATTTATAATTATACACTTCTATACAAAACTCTTTGATTCATTCAAACTGAAATGAACCTCAATTATAATTTTAACTTAATTTTCCTAAAAAATATTCTTGTACCAAGATATTCAACAATTTTTCTGCAAACATTCAGTTATAATACAAGAATGTCACTTTGTAAATGAGTATATTTCTATTTTTATCACTGTTGAAAATGATTTCATTAAAATATTCTATTCGAAAATTTTGAAGTTTTTAAGTCACGAATTTGTTCAAATCTAAACAAGTACCCTCATTTGAATACAATGACTGTAGATGGTGACTCCAGAAGATCGCAAATTTCAATCTCACCGAGCTCCGGATGGCTGATACTCCGCCGAAGTTGATTAATTTCCTTGGAGTAGTTTTTTTGAATCGCAAGATATTAAATGTCATCCTTCCATGGAATTTTTTGAATCTTTCTGCAAAGCAAGTGCTTGTAGTTTCTGTGGCACAGAGGGTAAATACTCGTATTAACAGTCCAACCTGCCCCTTTGACAATGGTAATACCTCAGTGTGGAGATCTAATAGGGAGGTCCAATACCAATTCCTTATGTCTCAACAAAAAAGCTGTTATCTTTCATTTCAGATAAGCTAGTCAACATCTCAACTTGTCTTTATCCTGCTTCAAGTGTGTTCCTTCATGTGCTCAAATCTAATTTTGAGATTTTTTCATATATTTTGACAGTGCTTGTCATTCAGTATTTAATGCCCAAAATTAAAAATCGATAGCATTCATCGTTATCAAAATAAGTTACTTGAAAACAGAAGCTAGTATGAAATCATGATATATGTGCAAAGCATTTAATTTTTTTAAGTTTGATTAACACGTGTTCAGTTGGTAACATAAACGAATTTTTTGATGCATTCATCTTCCATACTTCCGCAACAAGATGGAGGAATACAAACAAAAAAAACATAATTGAATTTATACAGCGGTTATAGAGAAACGTCTAAAACTAGTGACGATTCCGTGCCGACTCCACGTTTCGTATATCTGGTGACATCACACTGCGTTTCCCTTAACTGCTTGTTCACAGCTGTTTTCTAAAGCCTTGAATCACTCAGAGAAATTGCTGCCCAAACTAATCCTTTTCAAGAACAAGTCGTACACCAGTTCATGACGATAACGTTTATCATTGAATTACATGAAGCCTATCTTGAACTAACATCTTATTTCATGAAACAGCCTGTATTACGTACTCCATTATTGAAGGCGATAAGAGGATTTATATGGCAAGACGTTCAGTAACAATTAGTTCTGTTTATAGTTTCGTGCTCAACACAACATACAGAAGACTCATAGTTCGACAATGGCATCCAAAATAAGTTTGGCCTTCCTCGCTGTCATTGTAGTATTTTACGTAAGTGATTGTAAATTATATCGATAACAAAAAAAATTTTTGGAATGTCATCATGTGATAAATATTCATCTTTCTGAACGAATTCATTCATATAAATAGAAATGCTTCAGAAATGAATATAAATATCAACGCAAACAATATTTTTGAAAAATATATTATATTGAAGACTGGTCATTTTAAAAAAGGTTTCGACAATGTTTTATATTTGCGCGGTTTTCCCGGCAATTTTCACTATAATTATAGTTCTTTCCATAAAAGTTTTGTTGAGGAATTTTTTATGTGTTTTAGATAACGTTTCTAAATTCATTCTTCAGGGCTCCAACAAATAATTTCTTATAACGTATGTAATATCATATACTTGCTTATATATTTGCGTTTACCATCATCTCCGTTTAGTTAGTTTCGTTTTTAGTTATTTTAGATTGTGAGTAGAGTATCGCACAAATCTTCAGTATTTAAAATCATATGCTTACGGAAAAGCTAATATACGATTTTCAAAACGAATTGCACTCCAGGCAGACCGACCGGTCATTTTCGATATAAAAACTTCAATTATGTTTTGTAGTTGATAAAGAGAAAAAATTGAAGCGAAAAGATGACAAATAACTAATTCACCAAGTTAATAAAGCATTTTCAGTGGATGCTATAATCGTTGTGTTGAACAAATTAGGACTTGTATGGAATGATAAATTTTCGCATCAGACAATAACAAGCTTTCATCTGAAATGTATTTCACTTAAATATACTTTCAAAAGACACATTTCAATTTGTGTGGTTTGTATCAGATAATTGATAATATCCACTGATCAGAAATGTTGGAGAAACTCGTACAGGAGAATACAAAAATTATATTTCATCTTTATCTCAACAAATATTTATTCCTGAAATATTATGAGAATGTGTTATCGGTGTAATGAATAACTTTGATTTAACAAGCATTTTATTTGTCATTATTTATTTTGAAGAGAAAATTATTGTTGTTTTGTGATCATCAGTCAATTTTTGGTTGTTAAAAAAATGTATCTGTAGACCTCGTGGAAAATGTGAAGGATTTTCAGGAAAGAAAGTTCACGGTTTTATTCCAGTTAATTACGAAACATTTTGTACTTCAAATTGCTCTTCACTACACATCTGTGAACACATCTTTTTAGACGATGTAATAATTCACAAATTTATCATAAAGCTTTAAACAAAAGGTATATACTTTACTCAGAGGAGTGATATATGGGCCCAGCTTTTCAAAAACTGAATTGACAATTTGAACATTTCGATATATTCTAGAGGATCGATCTTCGCTTCAGACCAAAAATTCCGTTATGGATTTTTCGCTGTCCGTTCAGAAATTATTGTTTATTTATCAATTTCAAATTTTTTCTTCTCAAAGTAGTTCCCTTCAGATATAGGTAATACACTTGCGACAGTGTTTTCTCCAAGCCTGGAGTTCTCTCTGGGTGATCCGGTTTTAATCTACTCAATTAATATTGGGAAGAAAAACGTCGCAGGGGGGCAAATCTGGTGAATACGGCGAACGAAGCATGATTACGGTATTGTTTTTGGTCGAACAATTACGAGCAAGCAATGACGAGATAGCAGGTGCATCATCATGATACAAAAGCCATGAATTGTTTTTCAACAATTTCGGACGTTTTTTTCGTATTGCTTCTCGCAAGCGGCGAGTAACTTCAAGATGTTACTCATTATTGATCGTACCACCATGAACAAGAACTCCTAATGCACTACGCCAGAGTGATCGAAGAAAACAAACTCTTGACATTCGATCAAATTTGGCGTGCTTTTTGTGGTATCGGATCTCTTGGGTACATTGGTTTCGATGTCATAACCATATACCCATGATTCGTCAGCAGTTATGACCCTTTGGAGCAAATCTGGATCCCTGTATACTTCATTCAACAATTCTTGAGCGACGCTCATGCGAAGGTTCTTTTGATTGAAATTCTGAAATTTTGGAAAGACTTTTGCGGCCACACGCTTCATGGGCGAAATTTTCAAAACAATTGCATGGCATGAGCCAACCAATATGCCAACATTCTTAGCAACTTCTCTAATAATCATTCGTCGATTTTCTTCGACAATTTTCTTCACTTTACCAACATTTCCATTGGTTTTTGTTATGCTGCGGTGTCCAGGGTGAGCGACGTCATTCACATCTTTTCTACCTGCTGTGAAAAGCTTGTAAAGGTTTTTTTGTCTCAGTGTACAATCGCGGTGTGCCACTGTCAACATTTCGAGTGTTTTTTAGTGCTTAAATATATTTTTCTCACAAAATTTGATGCAAATTGTTTGCTCCATTTTTTCGATAGCAGAAAATTGCCAAACATGCAGAACATTTCTTTTGTGCCTGTCATCAACTAACCTGAAAAGCTGAAACTATGCTCGAGACCAGTGTATCAACACGAACAGATCACTAACCAAATATACGTAGCCAGCAAAATTTGATCACTTACCTTATTTTTTTAACAGTCCGAGTATCACAGCTTTCAAATTTCGTGGTTTATTGAGCCAAATAATTCCCTCGATTATTGTTCAAACCTCCACAATAATCTATGGTATTGAAAGTTTTTTCAAAACCGAAGATTTATACAAAAACGACATAGGTTAATATATTCAGTGCTGAAAACCACACTGTAGTAAAACTTTTGACAATATTTCAAATTATATTATTAGCTTGCACAAGTTACGACTTCTGAGGGTTGTCGTTCGTAGGGGTACAACAGCTGGTTGCACGGAAAAACAGATTTCAAACAGATTTTAAACAGATTTGAAACATATTTTAAACATATTTTAAAAAGATATTGATACAGGCAAATGTATATTTCCCTCGTGGATTCCGAAGGAAGTACCTGTTAAAACCTGGTTTTCACTTTTTGAAAAAGTTTCACTCCCAAATTTAGTTTGATTTTTGTGTTAGGTAGCTTCATATTTCTGCATGACACTGAGAAAATGAAGTATTATTATTGGTTTCCATACATCTGTAGAGAATACCAAATAATTGAAGATAAATTTTTGGGTTTTCAATCAAATATGAACTAAATTGCCGAAACTTTCAAAGGCGATTTAGAACATTATCAATATCCATGATCCGTGGACCTTCTCTTTGTTTTGTCTCTGATAGACGAATGTTGCGATGATGATCATTCATGTGATTAGTTATGTATATTCTAGGTTATGTCGTGGGAAACGCAGGCCACAATTGTTCGAAGAGATGCGCCACCAGAAAAGAATGCTGCTCAATCGATTGATGAAGCTTTCCAATCTCTCAAACAAGGAATTGACAATTTTGTGAAGAAAGTTGAGGTACATATAAACTAGAAAAGTTAAAGGTTTCTCATTTCATCACATTTTCGGAGATATTTCCGATTGTTATGTCATATATCTGTAGTATAAAATAAACTTTGACTTTCAACTATTCGTTCAATTTATGGATATAGAATTCCCTGAAACGACAAAATAAGCATTTCTATCAAATCACAGGAGATAGTTTTATATGAGATATACAGAGTGTTTATCAAACATGCGGCAAAATCGTTAACGGACTATTCTAAGAATATTTTGACCATTGATGATTTTTGATAGGGCGCTTTGTTTTGAAGATACGGGACGGAACAGAATTTCGACAACAATTTTGGTAATTTTAAAATTATTAACGTAGCCGATATAAAAGTATAGCGTACTACTCTCTGCATATGATGATTCAAATGACAGTGACCAGTAAGAAGGCCTGTTAGACATCGTAGTTCATCCCTACTGTAGTCCAACAACTGTTTGGTATCCACCTTCGGAAGGTGAATAAACGTCTTGAAGTGAGCCAATCCTGGAAGATTCTGCTAGAAGTCCATAAATCTTCTTGCCATCCAGGGGTTCAATGTTTGTTTGACAAAGCCTAAAGCGATGCCAATGACAAGTTCTGATAAGATGAAGCTGCTTGCAAGGGAGTCAGTAGCTTCAGTGGACAGTTCTCATGATAGGAGGAGATTACTGCTTCGCGAAATTTCTCCTAACTTTCATTGCAGCTTTCACTGTAAGGAAACTTGTTGAAAACCAGAGTACAAACACAACGCATTCATGATTCGAAACCAGAAAGCGTTGTTTCGACTCGACAGGGGTATCAGAAGTAGTACTAGGCTGAACCACAAATGCATTGCTGGAGTCAACTGTCCCGAAAGACAAGCCTGAGTAACTGAAGGCGATGGCACTGCTTCTCACGCAGTTGGATAGTAGAGAACCCAGTTCTCGAATATTAATCAAGGTAACTGGTTGAAAAACAGAGATCAAACAACGTATTCATGATTCATCACCTGACAGCGCTATTTCGATCCGCCATAGGTATCATCAGTTGGGCTAGACTGGACCATGACTGCATTTTCGGACTCAACTGTCCTTAAAAGACAAACCCGAGTATGTTAGGGTGATGACATCTCGCCTTGCGAGGACGCAATTTATGAGAGCCTATTGAGCCTACTCAATCCCAAAATGAAAAGTGCATCGTGGTTTTCAAATAGTTGCCTTGCAGTGAAAGGTGCAGTGGAAGACACAGGATGAATCTGGTTGGCGGTCGATGCCGAAGGTTGGCTTTGCAATTGACCGTTTTGGAGCGCTTCGAAGATTGCATTCTCTGCCAATCCCATAAATGACGTATGCTATAGAGAAAATTGAGCATGAAAAGATTACCAGATTGTTTGATGTCTGTCAGACACTAACCTACACACCATGATGAGAACATTATTTTAAATTATATCAAGCATTTTTTCTAGAATTTGAACGAAATGAATAAAAACATTTTGATTTCTTTGAGACAAAACACAAGCACTACGGGAAATTTCTTGAGGAGCTCTCAGAGCAGTGCCTGTGCGAAAGTAGTGATTCACATTGGATTCAAATCGCTGTAGATTAAATCCATTTGGAAAAACATTCTCAGGGAGTTTTTTCCACATAAACGCCATTCTCCAAATGGAAGAGTTCTTATACAGTGAAGTTCGAGGTGTACTGAGTTGAACCTCAAAACGATGAGCTAATACACTCCGTCGCGTATTTCTGATATGTACCGCTCTTGGTGGAATCCAATGTGTCAAATCACTTGAACACTTCCCGTGAAACTATCTATGGAATATAGACAAATCTCCAACCTATATTCGATGTTACAGACTATCGAGGTTGCAAGTAATGTTCGCGTCCTCACTCAGATAGATCATCAACATTTGCTGACGTATATACAGAATGAATGTAGGTATTTGTCTACTATATAATCTGTATATATCTGTATATAATCTGTGTTACTTTGATGGAAAGTAATTCCGTCTCTCCATAAAGGAAAGAAATTGTCAGAATTTCTTTCAACCAACTGTCGCTTCCTTATGAATGGAAACTTCCAGAAGTAAAAACCAAAGATTAACGAGATATCAACTTCAACGTGCGATTTCTGTAAAAAAAATAGTTTTGATGTCTCAACAAGGCATTTCAAAATTGCTCTCTGTATTTTCGAATAGACACTATTGCACTATTTTGGAGTAAACTGAATTTAACAGTAGAAACTTTTTGTGTCTTCCACTGTTTATTTATAACGTTTGTTTGATAGTAATTGGCAATGTTTCATGATGAATTTCATTAGTTCGCACTTCCATTGTCTGATATCATATAAAATGATTTGAAATCCCTGAAAGAACTGATAAAAGAAGAATTAAAAAAGAAATGCTGAAAATGGTAAAATAAGTGAACGCTTTTTTCTGTAATGCATTTACATAACCACAATGAATCAGGGCCGATCTTAGGTAGGCGCTTTCGAGGCCCCGCGTTTCCGAGAAAAAATGAAACATATGGCTCTTAATTAATTCAAATAATTTTTTTCACAATAAAGAATTGTGAAATTGGACTTCTAATTCCTTGTCGTAATGGTATTGTAACTTAGTGATATAATAATAATATTTTCTTGACAATTAAAATTGAAAAAGATGTACATTTTGTTTACATATATTTGACAAAATGGATGTAGATTATTTATATCCCAGCATCATATAGAAATGAAACGATTGGAGGTTTTATTTTGAGAGATAGGTATACAGAAATTTGTTTGGATTGTAACTGATCAACAAATTATAACTCTGCAGTTTTGGGAGTTGTTCTTTTCTTCAGGTTGTGAATTTTCTGACATTGCTAAATTCAACTTCTCCCATGTCAGACATAATGTTCACCATTCAGGGGCCCAGCGTTCTTGGTTTGTTAGGGCCTTGCGATTGGTGGGGCCAACCCTGCACTGAATACTTCAAATTGTCAAAACCTTCAAATCTGTCTAGATAATTTTTATGTTTTCAGTTGTTGCGAAATTTTTATGTTTTTCTCAATTTTTTGATATTCTGAATAAAATTAGATTTCCAAATAATATGTCATTATTTTTTTAACTATCATTGCGGAGAAAATATTTTCTTCGATATTTATGGTTATCAGCTGAAAATCTATTCAACAAAATATTTATTGATACCAATATTTCTTTACGATAACTGAAAGTGAATCCCGAATGAGAGGTATTTATTTTTGCATTAAAATTGAAAAATTAGATTTTTGAAAATTTTTATTTTTTTATATAAAATAAATCACAATGATGATATAGTTTTTGCATTTTTCAGTGCTGTTTCTTCAATTTATCCTGCAAATCATTGGAGACTTCGATGACGTTATCTAGGAAAACTTTAGCTGCATTTTGGAGATCTTCTCTCACTTCTGAAAAAAAATATCCCAATGAAATTCCAAGCAATAATGATAACTGAGGTTCGGAACATTTCATCTTGTTGAAATAATTTCTGATTCCTACTTACTCTTGGCTTCTGGCTCTACTGCTTTTCCCAACTTGTCAATTTGTGAAACTGCATCTTTCAATCCCTTGTCAATGGAGTTTTTGATGTCCTGTGCTTTCTTTTGTCCGTCGGGTCCCAAAGAATTCTGGATATTCACTTTGGCTTCCTGAAGTTTCTCCGAAACGGTCTTAAGAACATTTTCGATATCTCCTTGATTGTTTTTCAGCTGGAATCAACAAATAGTATGAGAAGAACTCATTGCAGATTTTCACTGATAAGTAGAGGTTTGAAAATAGGTTTTGTAACCTGAGGCTGACCCTGAACCTTTTAAAGACTTACTTCGGTTTTTATTTTATCAGCAAAAGTTTGGAAGTGGTCAACGAGGTTCTGGGCCCCAGTGCTAACTGTATCAATAACTTGTTTTGAATCGGGAAGATTTCCTTCAATAGCAGCTGTAACGTTGTGGAAGGCTTGTTCAGCTTTGGCTGCTAATTGTTGGATCTGCGAAGGCTCTTGGGCTTGTTTCGCTTTTGGTTTGGCAACAGCAACCTAGGAAAATTGAATTGGGAATTAGAGAACGATTTGACGAAAGATACATCCATAGTTATTAGAAATTAACTCGTTTCATTACTGGACTATATTGTATATCGACAGTTTCTTCATTGAAATTTTCAGGATATTCAATACTGTTTTTTGTTCAGAATATATAAAATTTTTGAAGCAGATCGCAGTTATTTTTTGATTGAACTGATTTCATTTGTGTAATCTATGTCAAATCTTAAATTTGTATCTCTGAAATTACGTTTCAGATGGGTGATTGAAAATCTTTTATGAATTGCTTACAGAGTTTCTCAAGACATTTGCATTTTTATATCAGTGAAGTAAAGAAAAAACTATATTTCAGAATGAAAAACCAACGTTTAATACATTTCAAGAAAGTAGTCAGTCATTGGTGAGCACACATGCAAATAATACACGTATCATTAACTCACAGAGGATATTTTGAAAATTAGTTAATGTAAAGGTAATAAGAAGTGAACAAGAACGTGATTTTCAATAAATGAATGGACATTTATTATTTGCAAGTGATTATATTCCCATATAGGTGTTCTATTACTATTATTAATTTTGAAAAATGGAAGGTGTCGACAAAATTCTCATAGTGCCAAGTCCATTATTCAAAATGACTGAATCAGCACATACATGTCGTGACTATTTTTATATTCACTAGCATCAGCGTATGGATAATGTTTCAACGTTGAATGAAGTACAACTAATTAGTTTTTATCTAGTTATAAGCATAAACAAAAGTACACATGTATGAATTGATGATCAAAATTGAACTCATACAAATAATTAATACATTTTTAATACACAACAAAGTGTAGGCAAACTAATAAACTTCAACCGAATCTCAACTAAAATTTGAACCGGAATTGAATGATTTGGAGATTTCAACATTTAGTGAAAGTGTTTTAATAACAACAATTGAGTTTTTGACACTATCTGGAATTTAAAAAATGATATTTTTCATCGATTCAATTATTCACTTAGTCTGTATGAGTGTTGATTTCAAAAATGGTGATAAAAAAAGAATTAAAGTTCATAAATATGATGAATGAAAGAAAGTTATTAAATTTTTATAAACCATTTCAACTGAATCTGACTTTGAAAATAAATCGCGACATTTTTTCCGTATCACATTCGTCAAGAGGTGGAAACCTTCAATATTGGACTTCACGGAGTTGTTTTTCCATCGTGAAAACAAATTCAACGAAAAAAGTCTGATGGAAATCGACTCTAAAAAATCCTAGGATTATGAAAGATAAAAGAATACCATTTTCTCCAACCGACTAAAAGAAGCACATTTTATTTTCTATAAAGTAGTATAAATTTGACAAATTCATATTTTGATTGACTATGAATTTGCATTCATTTTCAATCATAACTTGTGATAATCGTACTTTTCCTTTTTTTTAGTTCCTTATTCTCTCTTTATTTGAAAAATAATAGTTTTTTGATAAGTACTGTGGGCTATGCGGAAATATATGAAGTCATGACTTCTTTCCTTTTGAATGTTATTTACATTTCGAAATTTCTCAAATACACATTATTTAAAAGTGAAAAAACTCACCTGTAGTGCCAAGAATCCAACCAAGACAATAATTAAGAATTTAGACATGATGATTTTTGGGGATGATACAGTAGTCAGAGCCTTCTCAACCACAACTGATGGTAGATGTTATTACGGTGACCTTTTATAAGTATTAGGGGTTATACTTTGACCGAATATGTATGCTTGGCCTTCTTTATCTTCTACTGAGAAAATTTGTTGAATAAATATTATGAAAGACTGCTTATCTTTTTGTACCAGAATTATTTATCCAATTGAATACACAAAATGATCAATGTGCAAGAATAATATGTGCGCACGAAATTGAATGGATATTTTATAATGTAGGTTCAGAAATTAATCTGTTCGAGAAATATTTGTCATCAGCAGAGGGTGGCAATCATGTCATAATTCTACATTGCAAGTAATTTTTTGATATTGGATAAAAATCATGCTCAATTTTGATTTTCAAGTAGATTATGGATTCCCAGAAATAGATTGGCGTTATTCTTTTCTGATGTATTAATATTTCATTAGGTATTTTTGGTTAAATCTAACTTCTGTATACTCATTTTCCAAAAAGTTTCTTAGCAGAGTCCCAGTATGAAACAGAATTTTTCATCTGATGTGTTCAAATATTGATAAAAAACAATATACTATTGAGAATTCACCCAGATGATTCACATTAATCGAATACTTTATTGATTTCTCAAACATAATTTTGTCATCAAGTACTACAAAAATATTGATTTGGTTTTCTATCTGAATCAATTAGTTTTTTGATTTTGAATAATGAAACATAGATATTCAATGCTCAACTCGTAAATTATATCTTTATGTTTTGAATAATGATGATCATGTGGTAGTATAGTTTGATTTGACACATATTTTTTGAACTTTTAGCGATTATTCCTTACTTTCAGAATAACAATGCTTTACATTCTTACGCCTCTTATTTTATTTCATGAAAACATGACATACCATTACAAGTGAATGGTTGACCGTCTCTATCCAATATCAATAGATGCTAAAAGATGTGACGTATGTGTTTTCAGGTGATTCGAATTTTCCATCACTTCCAGTAACAATGCAATGCATTATAATGTTTCTAGAATTAGCGACCAAGTTTCTAAGTTTTCCATCAATTGACATGATCATCATCTTATCGTTGATTGCCTGCAGGCTAATATGACGATATTAGTACTAATGTACTACATCCCCTTTTGAGCCAAGCCAAGGCAATTGAATGCATCGTTATTTTTGCATGATGAGAGTGATCGTATTCAAATTAAAGGAAATGATGAAAGAGTTATCAGATCCGAATGTATCTTATGCTACTTTACGATTTGAACACATTGAATGACTAGATACTAGATATTCATAGCCCAATAATATTCCATTCCTTTTTTGTTAGCCACGTTCCTGAGAGGTAAATGAAGGGGCAATTATTGTGGTACGAGTAGATGATAAGTCTACAGCTAACAATTCAACATGATTACCTGCAGAGAAGGATTTCGTCTCAATTTCTTTTTTATTTATTCAAAACTTTTGTCTTGACAGGTTTCTTCATTTCCATTTCATTGATCAGTGAATAACATAACAATGATGTTAATAATGAAAAAAATGGGTAACAAATCAGGAAATAACCATATGACTAGTAAAAAAAGAGAAAGTAGCTTCCTGATGAAGTTTGTGATGTTATCTTTCTCCATCGTCACAGAAGTTGGCTCTTCACTCATTCCATATTATTTGAAGGAGGAATTTTGAAGACTTATGCAGAAAACGTTGAGAAACAGATGATGGAATCATAGTTGGTTATAACTATCAAAAATAAGTATGACACAGACTCCAAACATGCTATAAAGGGAAAGCAATTTATGTGAATGTTGATTTCATTCACCAAGAATTGTCACTGAGTTCACGAATTCATTATTGAACAGAACTCGATTATTATGTCTTGATGAGTTGAATGAATGTATATAGTAATTCAAAAATAATACATCATTATTGAATATTTTCACAAGGAATTATCGAGTTTATATAAAAGGCAGACTTTGATTCGAGATCAAATACGTCAGAAGTAACTAACAATATTGTTTGTTAGTTGGTTAAGTTTTCTGTCACAGAATAATTCATAAAATTGCGTAGAACTTGAACCAATTTTCTCTTAGTGAATTATTTTCGCTTCATACCGGTATTATTATCGTGGGTTCAGTTGATCGTTGATTTTCTATCCAGATATCTGTTCTCCTCCTGGATGTTATTTTTATTGTAGCCATTTCATACTTCAATGGTCTCTCTATCCGGTTAACCTTAGTTTTATTTTTAGATTAGGAACACCTACTGTAATGAATTCTGGTCCAAAATATCTGAAATTCTGTAGAAGATTGATCAAAAATGAATAATTTAACCCGACACTCCAGACTCTAATTTGAAAATCTTCTGAATAAAACACTGTATCCATAATTTCTCATGTATTGATAATAATAATAGGTCGAGTGGGCTGAAGTCGGAAACTGAGGGGTTCATCATGGCTTGCCAGGATGGTGTCTTCAACACCTAACTGATAACAAGTTTTCCCTTATGAGTATAGGTTTGCAGCTATCACGATAGTTCATATCAAAAATTGATCTTATCTTTTAGGCAACAAATATTCTAAATATTCTATTAAAATCTCTACCACATCCCCATGATATGATATTTAGAGAAACATGTGGATATGCCATTGCAAAGTAATATGCTTAGAAGGCTTTGTGAATCTACACACAATTTCATTTGTTTTATTGCAAAAAAGCTGAATTTACTCTCTTGCAGACACTATCCATATGCAGATCCCAATTTAGAGATTCATCTAATGTAGCTCCTAGAAATTTTACGTCACGTGACATCATCATTTCATCAGTAAGGTCAATTTCCCTTGGGATGTTATTTTTTCTGTTATAAAATTTCAGTGAGACAGATTTAGAGGTATTCAATATTACGTTGGCACCATGAAGTAAATCTATCAATAACATCTTTGACCCTTGTTAGTATATCTTCTATTGTGGCTCCACTAGAGTGTAGAGTGTTTTTCATGAATGATTTTTCCTGTGAACAGTTTACAAAACTAATTAGTACATATGAGTTTCTTCATCATATTTTAATCAGAATCCTCATTAATTGTCTAGATATTTATCAGCCTTAGTTTGATTGAAACATATGATATATCGGTATATATTTTTTCACTTTGAAACAGTCATAATTTTTTCGTTGTTCTTGAAAATATCCAACTATCGTTGTGAAATGACCATACATTATTGTTTTCGTGAACTATCGACCTCACGATTATTCGTCAAGGACTACTCACCAATTTGGAAAAGCACTATAATTAGTTTTTATTCCAAAATATTGAAGAATATGTGATACTCGCTAGGCTAGTCTGGAAATTGTTATGGTTGGAAATATTCGAAAAATAACAAATCTCTGAACAAATTTCTAGTACATTCATTCAATAGAAATGGAAATACGACAAGTTACTGATGATGAATATATCTTTTGTGTAAAAAATACTTTGAATTTATGCAGTAACCTAAAGGGTTGAACTGAAAATTTTACCTTTAATACAGTTCTCTGATACAATTCTCATATTTTTGTCAGATTGTGGAAGATGAACATACCCCTAAGAAAGCATTGAAAACATTTTCATATTATTTTTTCAAATTCTCAACGTTCGATTTCGTAACTCAAGAGTCAGTTTCACATAAGTTTGCCATCTTAGCTTTCATGAAATTAATGATCAATTTCTAAACTCTTGGTGGTCATTAAGTTTACATTAAAAATTTTACATTTTTCTGAATAATGAGCCGCCTCAGGCTCTAAAGTCGATTTCACAAGTGTCATCATGTGAAATTTCAGTTCGCCTTTATAAAAAATTATGACTGAGAATGTCATTCATTTCACCCACAATAATATACGATCTGGGCTCAGATGTGTAAACAAGAAGTTTGACAGTTATAAATAATCCAGATGGACAGAGAAGAGGGGTTGATTTTTTACTAATATCTCCAAAACAATTGCAGATATCCTGAATTCAAGACCAGAAAGTTCACTGAATGAAAGACTGGCTTAATGAAATTATAGCTTCAATGTTAATGGTTTCAATTGAGCAATGAAAATATAGAAGGCTGAAGCCTTCAAAAATGGTAAAAAGTGAAAAAAAAAATAATAGTAAGATGAAACCCATCAGAAAAAGGAGAAAAACATAATGAAAATGAAAGGAAAAATAAATTACGAGTGAACTGAGTTCGGGAAGTGGGAGTAGGTGAGTTTTTAAGCGTAAAAAATGGTTTATTTCTATTTCCGGCAAGACTACAAGTCCTATGGAAGAAAGTTAAATAGCAAAGTTATAGGTAATAAAAAGATCTACAACTTTTGTATTCAAATTTTTTTCACATAACCTCAAAATTCATGTGAGAAATTCAAATAACCAAGTTTTTCAAAAAAAAATTCTCTACGAAATTAAGTGGAAACTTACCTTTTTATGTGTCAAAAACACTGTCACTTATTCGATTCAAAATATTCATTTTTTTACCTTATTTTGACTTAATACTAAAAAAGCACCCTAAATGTCAATCGAAAATTCTCGTGTTAAAATATCAGTTTTTTTCAAAGAGTCGCTGTGATTTTTGTTCGTTGAAATCTCTACTTTCTGATGGTGCAAAAAATACATTACTATAGTAAATGTTCTCAGAAAATGCAAAAAATCGAAAAAAATTCGAATTCGAGATGCAAATCGAAATATACTACTATAATTAACAAACAAATAAGTTAATGAAGTTATTATTTCATAACACATCTACAATATTTTCAGAAGGTTGTAGAATCACCTTAAAATAATATTTGTAGATGCCTACTTATTGCTGTTTTAAAATAATTTATATATTTAAGTGACCCACGGAGAATTTTACTGAGGATGAGTTTCAGACAATATATTCTACAAACAAAGAACAATTTTGTAGTATAGAAATATAACGAAAGAAGAACTTATGAGATTCCTCTGTAAATTGCATCAGGGTCTGTCGGATAACTTTTGAAAGATATATTCCATTATACCTTTGGGCAAGCCATCAGCCTAGCAAATTTCAAAGTAAGGCAGTCTTTCAACGTGTTAGGAATCACACGTTAAAAAGAAAGACCTTGTTAGTCCTTAGCTCGCACAAGTTTCTCAACTTCTGAGAGTTGTCGTTCGTATGGAGGCGACAGCTGATTAACGGAAAAACAGATTTTTTTTTAAACAGATCGAATATCGGCTTTTGCAGCTATTGATAGAGAATTATATGTAAGAAGGCATGTGAGTGAGTTTGCCAATGTTTTATATAACTCTACCCCAGACAACCCAAAGGCCATCGTTTACATCGACGTTTCATATGCCGCCAAAAATGAAAGGTGTAATTTCAGGATACTGTGCCAATTTTTCTGAAGACACAAGAAACATTATCTGGTGAAACCAGCGTTGATTTTAGTCCCGATTGTAGCCCTATTTCTCAGACGCTCGCAACAATGACGTAAGAAAGAAACTTAGAAGCATTGAGGGGATGGTTTGATGAAGGTGGCATTTTTGTTGTGGATCAGGGTTATCGAGATGCCATACCCTTACTGAATAATCTTACATACATACATACATACGCGTACATTAAATGCCCGCGATTATTCCACGAGGGCAACAACAGCTTTCCAATGAGGAAGCAAACAAATCTTAATTAGTGAAGAAGATGGATAGTTGAAGCAATAAATGAACGTTTGAAAAGTATGTTGAAGTGTTTTGCTAAAACGATCGAAATGCCACCCTTCCACAATCTTAGCGATCTACATCAAATCGCTAATGCACTCATCAACAGCTTCCATCCCCCAGTCTCAATGAGATGGCCAATGTTTAGCCGGCATGAGGATTGCTACGAAAATCACTGGCTCTGAGAAATGGTCAATGGGTCCATATGAATGGAAACCTGATTCCAAACTACTAGGTCGAACTTTCACCATATATAAAGGATGATTTGCAGAGGGAGGATAATGAAGAGTTTCAGGTTGATTTTTTTTCGAAGAGAAAGTTGGATTCATGGGAGTCAGGGGTTTTTTCGGGGTTCAGAAATGTTACAGAATATCATTTTCAAATATGATGATGGAGAAGAAACCGATGAACCAATCGAGCCCATATCAGGATATCATTGTGCTTGTAAAACCGGTGCCAAGACTTTAGGAACATGAGCGCATGTTGCCACTGTTTTGTGGTATCTGGGTCACGCTCGACATAACCCCAACAATCGATACCCCTCAAGTTCCCTACCAAACCAATAACGGACGCGGCAAATAGACCACAACAAATGGTTCCTTATGGTGCATTTGAAATAGTTGGGTAGTGAAACCATGACAGTCATGCCGGTGAATAAACTATCCACAATTTATTTGGGTAACACCACAAAAACCCAACACCGGTATGTAGGTGGTCAACTTGGATGCATGACATTTCGTCTGAAGTCTAATTTTTTGTTCAACGAAAGTAATTTTTTGTGTGCTCATTGGTAATCATTCTTGTCCTATTCCATTCCACCCGATGTTCACCGTCTGATTTTAAAATGTGTTCTGATAATTTTGATCCTGTCAATTGTCTATTTTTTATGTAATCTCGTTGTTCATTCTTACGCACTTTCAATGGTCTCGAGGTTTCTCAAATGTAACTTTTACCACAAGAATAAGATATTTCATAAATACATGTTTTTGTTTTTTCTTCAGTGTTCAGTGTGAGTATAGATCTCAGTGTATTTTTTGTTTTGAAAGTAGTTGTAACATCATACCTATTTCCAATTCGTCTTATTTTTTCAGATAGTCTTGGAATGTAAGGTATAACGTTAGTTGTGAAAGGTGTCGGTGGATGTTGAGTCGATAATTGTTTAGTTGGATGTGTGAAGCTGTTTATATATTCGTTTGGTTTTTAATTGACTCTTTATTTTCTATTGCATTTATTGTTGAATTTATGAACGAATCAAGAGAGTGTTATATTTCAAAACAGATTTAATTAATGATCTTTTTTTATTGAGATATTCAGTTGAATTGCATATCGTTTTATCTCTTTTGTAAAGGCAATTTATTATACCTTTGATTTTTACGCAGTAACTTATCGAGGTAAACTAAAAAGTTTGCCCTTCTACACTTGTATAAAGTTCTCCATTATAATTTTCATATTTTTCAGATTGTGGAAGGTAACAAATACCCAAAACAGGTCGATAAAAAATCTAATTTTTTATTTCGATATAAAGCACTTGCATTCTTTTTCTTCATTGCAGTTGATTTAACTGTAGTTTCAATGGTTGTAATAGGAGATTGTTCCGTTAATGTATGAATGTCGCATGCTTTATTCAGTGATACCTATATAAGACCTATCCTACATTGATGAGGGGCAAAAATCCGAAACATGTGTAACTCGCTTCGGAAAACGAAATATGAATCGCCAGAAAGGCTGTCTTTATGGAAAAATGTACTTGCTGAATTGATTCGACTCAGTTCAGTAGCTGTTGTGGTACTTACCATTATTTCTGTTTCCTTTGTATCAGACCATAAGTTTGGAATCGTTCTGAATTAATAATTTTGTGATGGAATATTTCGAAGTTTATCTAAGAAACAATAGTATTTTCTGTTACAAAGGAATTATTGATTATTCGAAAAAACGATAAAATACTATACGAGGTAGGCACTGTGGAAGTTTATGATCAAGAATGACTCATCTAAATTATGTCAGAAAATAAAAGAAATTCATGGATGGGTTTAGAAATCATTTTTCCGAAATTAGAAATATATTTTCGATCGCCCCGTATCTTCCAAATAATGAATGGTTGGTTTAAATGCAGAATATGATCACTCTCTCATGTACTGTAGGTAACATCAATTGCATATGGATCTGCAACCACCAGTTTTGATTCTAGAAACTTTTGTCACGTGAACTTTCTGATGAACATATTGTAGACTATTCCATTATGGAAATTCAGATCGATACGATGAAAATGAAATTCCGGATTTTTTGCAAAAAATCGTCAAAATATCAAATTTTGACCCCCTGTAGAATCCAAACGCCGGCATTCAGAGAGTTGGCGCAATGGTAACTTTTGTTCAGGATGGCATGGGCTACATCAAATTGAAATTTCAGCGATTTTCACCAAAACTGGTTTTTGATAAGATTAGTGCGGGGTCCTTTGTTGAAATGTGGATTCAAATTTTTTCAAGTCATTTTATAAATTACCAGATGAAACCGATGAATTTTCAGAAATTTACAGCGGATTCATCATGTAATAATTGTAGCGGGGTCCCAACCATACACCGACTGTATGATCAAATTTGAATTAGGTATATTTCTCATTGAAAAGAGCACTTGGTATCTACGGACATTTATATTGTCACTGCAGGTATGACGGATTTAGATCCATGTTACATGGAGGTGTCAAATATCGAAGATATGAAATATGCAATAGACGATATATTATAAACAGATATTTGAAAACGATGTTTTCTATTTTTCTGTTTTTGATGTGATGGCAGCATGAAGAGGGTCAATAACATTCATATCAATTAGAAAGAAAGTACTCAAAATATTTATTCGATTTATCATATCATAAACTAATAGAACACACATAAATAGCCTAATTAAATATGTACAAGTACTTTAAAACGACCCCCAATGCCTATCTATCCTCTGACTCGGCATGTTTGTGTAGAAAAATCCATCTAATGGCGTCAGCCAGCGCGCTTTTATCATATCACTGCCTTTTTCCGCAATCATGATGGCCGGTGCGTTGGTGTTACCCGTCGTCACTCTGGGCATGATACTGGTATCTATCACCCTCAATCTGTCGACACCGTGTACCTTAAAGAAAACAGAAATCAATTCTAACTACAATTTCTATGAAATGTACGAAATATACATTCGAAAATCTGGTTATTTTCATGAATTCATTCAATCTTCTGCATATACAGGGATACATAGAATAGAATGTGGTGAATGCTCTGCAGTTTATACAGGCCAAACCGGTAGAAATTTTGACATAAGACTGCATGAACACATGTGTTTGGACAAAAAATCTGCAATGTATGAACATCTTCGAAAATCAAACCATAAAATAAATGACTATAACATCAAAATTCTTCACATATGTGATAAAGGGAAAAAATAAATTTGTTGAAGGCCATGGAAATCAATAAAAAAAACCAGAAATATATACCCCTAAACGAGCAACTCGATGTATGTAGGTCTCCTCGAATTTTAAAGTTGGCATCCTGGTTCGCCCAACTACCTGCTCTCAAACACCTGTCCATGCAGCATACTTGAAAATTCTAATATAACCGATATTTCAAACTTCTGATTTTAGTTTTATACTTGATAATGGGGTCAAACCCGAAACCGGTCGTATAAATAAAATCTACCAGTGGTATTTAGATAAAAGTGTTTTTATTCATTTCATTTTAGTGTTCATGAATTACCATAAAGTAAACAAGTCATCAATCACACATAATAGATATCTCTTCTACCTGAATCTTGATTGTCTTAAATCATTATCAATCTTCAGGTTTTGTACTCGTAAAATATGATTCTACCAACTTTAAAGAATGAAAAATAATAAAAATAGAATATACGATTCTAATTATAATTTTTGATATATTCTGCTCAACTAAAATTGGTACTTAGCTTAAAGATAAGGAAATCATGCAAAAAATTAACTTTCAGACACGAACTGAAAGAAGAAGTCTTCTCCATACAACCATTTTCATGTAAACATTGAATAACACGAAAGAAAAAATACTCTCAAAACAGAAACTTTTATATGAACAGTAAAATATACAAAAAAATTCTTCCTATTCAGTTTGTACTTCGTCCTCAGGAGATGTTTATGGCCAAATTTCACTACTATGTTAGTGTTTTTACATGTTAGTTACCTAACTACTATCTGTTAGTAGTACCTATCTACACCTGTTAGTGTAACCTAAACTACCTGTTTCTGATACCTTTAATTTGTTATGTATTTTCTCTATATTAGTGATCATCTCTATTATTTATCTGTTTTTCATTTAGAATTATTACGCATAAGACCAAACAAAGGGCTGTTCGAAATAAGACCTTCGTCGTTATTTATAGAACTCATTCCGCACTTTTCGATTTCCAAGCTTTCGAAGGCATCCAGAAACCTGTTTTCATATATCGGTCTCAATTATTTTAAACATTTCCCGCTTATTCTATGATCGTTCTCTGTGGCATGTTGAGCGACATTAGATTTCTCCGGTCTATGAAACCAAACATGCGAAACACGTTCCTTGAAGCGAGCTAATATAGTCCGTTTGGTTTGACCAACATATTTCTTCTCAGATTCCTCGCAGATGATTTTGTGAATTCCAGACTTTTTTTTCCAATGTCTTGTCTTTCGGACTGCCCATTACTTGTTGAAGTGAATTGGTTAAGGCTTTCTCGGCCGATATTTTCCGTGTCTCTATCTTCATTCGGGTTTGAAGGTCGTCATAGTTTGGAACTGCATCCTAACGTTTCGCCAGCACGAGTGGCTGGCTTCTTCAGAGGTTTTTTTATTTTGATGATTCACCGTTGATGATACACTTGTTGAAGTGTACGTGTATATACATTTTTTTTAATGTTCGGACCAATACATTGGTGTATTTGGGTTCATATGGAAGCATTATGAATTTTGAATCTTCCTCTTTTCGAAAAGTCGAGGAATTACGGAGATACTCCCAAAATTTTTGTTTTTTTTTTTGATGATTCACCGTTGATGATACACTTGTTGAAGTGTACGTGTATATACATTTTTTTCAATGTTCGGACCAATACATTGGTGTATTTGGGTTCATATGGAAGCATTATGAATTTTGAATCTTTCTCTTTTCGAAAAGTCGAGGAATTACGGAGATACTCCCAAAATTTTTGTTTTTTTAATCAATTTATCCACTATTTTTGATGGATACCCATTGCTTTTGGATACCTGTTGCTTTCAGCAACCTTCCTACCATTTTTTTTTTCAATTTCATACCTTTCTTTGCTCAAGGGAAATGTGAGAAGTCTATATGGACAAGAAATTGTAGTCTCGTCATTTTTTGTTGTTGGCAATGATGAGAGCTGTGGGGATATACCTGGAAGTGCTCGTATTCTTTCTATGTATACCAAACTCTAGACTATTATAGACATTTTTATTAATAAGTACATCTAAGAATGGTGGTTCTTCGTTACTTTCAATTTCATATGTGAATTTTATATTTGCAAATCTGTTGTTGAGGCAAAATACAAAATCCTCTACCTTACTCCTATTCGTATCAAAAATGGTAAATACATCTTCCACATATCGAATCCAGGTTCGTGGGAAATAATCCAACTCTTCCCTTGCTCCCATATAAGTTTTATAGAGTATATTGATCAGTTCTTTTATGTGACGAATGATGGGACGGTTGGAGTATAATTGGTTGATTGCTTCCAGGGACTTAAATGATCTGACATATTAAAAAATTTCATGGAGTTGCTCCTCCAAATTTACTGCAGTACTTTCCACATTGCGTATAGTTCCCCAGTAAACACTGAGTTTGAATGGTGAACTAGATTGAAAACTGATAAAAGGCTCCTACGCCATCTTCAGATTTTGATGCATCCATATAGATTGTGTCTCCTTGCACATATGAATTAGCTTTGATTACTTCACAGTTAATGTCTGCCTTTTTGAACTGGTTCAGGTTTGTATCAATGAGCATTTTTGAGGTACTCCATGGGGTTGAGTTAGGGAAATTCGAGTTGAAGAAAGTTTTTGTAGATTATGTAGATATTGATTTTGTCTCTGGTAAAAAAAAGGTCACCTCTTTTCTTCTTAGCATATGTTAACGAAAATCTATGAGCGATCACATTATGGTATAGTGGATTTGCTGTAATGGAAGCAACATAGATGAGTGTTGAAACTGCCTTCGGGATGCTGAAGATGGTTCGCCTGACTCACATTGCAAGCTTTCGGTTGGACTTGGCTAGAATGCCCCAAGGGCTGAATTTGTCTTGGATAGAGATCAACCTATCAAACGAGGTATCATAAAAGTCCTCTCTTCAAATAGAAGTTGATAGAACCCCCTTGGCAACAAGTGACGCCACGCTATTGTTTTTCCCTATAATAAGTACCGGAAGTACCAAAATGATGTCTTTTTAAGTAAATCATGCCCGACCTCGATATTTGTCCCGTTGAAAATTTGACTATGAGTCTTAGTGACAAGCATATTTCAAATTGTACTTGTGTGATAGTTAGAGCTTCCCATAGTTACCCACTGGCACCACTGGCTCTAAATTCATTTTTCAGCCTTAAATAATTAGGTGAGGACAATAAAATCAACGTCACGAAGACGCCTATTATAATATCCACGAATATCAATGACAAACGAAGCTCCCAAGGCGGTCAGTTGCAAAGGCAAGCTTTGACATCGATGGCCGATGATATTCGTCCTCTGTCTTTCTCTGGAGCTTTGAAACCAGAAGCCCAAGAACAACACATTCGTGATTCAATACCAAACAGCGATATTTCAACCCGCCATAATATGTCTCATCAGTGTTGCTGTTTTGTCAGATATGCTATGCTCAACTCGTAAATTATATCTTTATGTTTTGAATAATGATGATCATGTGGTAGTATAGTTTGATTTGACACATATTTTTTGAACTTTTAGCGATGAAAGACTTATCAGATCCGAATTTATCTCGTGTTACTTTACGATTTGAACAAATTGAATGACTTGATGGCACGAGTAGATGATAAGTCTACAGCTAACAATTCAACATGATTACCTGCAGAGAAGGATTTACAACAGCTAAGGAATCAGAAGGTGGTCCCATTTTACAACTTCCGGCTTGGTGATTTTCTGGAGCAGTCTGCCTCTTCATAGCACACTCCCAATAGCGATCTGATCCGAAAGAAATATTTTCACAGCCCCTCACTGGGGTTCTGTCTAACTGGAAACCATATCTTCGCAAAGCTGCAATTTTCAATATTCAGTGATTTTTCATTGTGTGCACGAATTAAAATAGAACGTGACACTCACCCTTAGTTTCCGCAAGTTTCAAACCAATCTTGATACCTTCAATCATGACTTTCACATCATCTGGATGGGTAAAATAGTTTCCATAAATGAGAGGATAACTCAACGGTTTGTTGTCTCTCAACCGCAGGGAACCTGGAATATTTGAAAGATTCATTATTCCTTTTGTTACTTTTGAATTTTTTCAAGTTACTTCAAAAATGAGTTTGTGCAAGAACCCGATTTCTATACAAATATAAAAGTACTCTTCAGTTGTGTAGGCATGAATTATTGTATAACTTTGAGATTGATAAATCGAATTGAAGACAAATAATTGACTCAGGGTTTAAAAATATACAATTTCTAGTTGAGGTTGGCATTAGATTTTTTATTACTAAAGCTTTGCAAAACTGTAATATAGGTACATACTCGTATTCATGAATATTTTTTCAGCACTTATATTCCGTTGAATGTATCAATTATTCTGTTACCGTTTGGAATTTCAATGCCTCGCAATCAAATATGTAATGAATAAAATATATGAACTCATACAAAAAAACAAGAATGGTATTTTCACATACCTCGGCTCTTTGGGTGCAAAACGGTTGGTATTATTTGCACAGATCTTGTATTATTATCGACTTTTTCCCCCACTTGTCCAGTTTTTGCACAATTGGCTAAAAATCCTCCAAAAATATACTGAATGTCTGGATGTTCGTCTTTGGGATCTTGATATTTTGTATTAACAAATCCAGTGACTTCAGAAATTCCTAGAAAATGTGAAATCATATTGGTTATATCTAATTATACAAATCGAAATGATGAAAAAATGTTTATTCAAGTTCATAATATTAAGGCTTGAAATATGAAAAACATATTCGTTCAGAAACAATTTTTGTGGAGGATATAATACTTCTTATCCTTTTTTGGGTATAGAACCTTCCACAATCTGGAAAATAAAAAGAGAACGGACTCAATAGAAAACAGAGAAGTTACTGCATAATATAAACCATTGAAGAAAATCGATTATAGTCAGTATAGTTGTATTCAGGAATTTTGCCAACAAATAAAATAAATTATTAAAAAGTAAAATTTTGGTACTCAGAGCTATTCGAAACCGGAGAACATTCCCGTTCTCAAAATCAAAAAATTCATGTGTGAAAAGCACCTTAGATGAAATCGGCTGAAGTTTCAAAAGGTAATAACTGTTCCCAGAACAAAAAATTACTTGTTGAAAGCGCTTTCGATAAAAACAGGTATATTTCTTTTGACAGATGTTGAAAGATTGAAGTGCCTATATGTCAGAATTGACAGTCCACATGAATTCACATACAGGATGTGCCCCGATAATTCAGCCCTTAATATTCATAAATGGAGGGATGGTGAATTTTTGGAAAAAAACCTTGACTATTCATTGAGATGCGGTATTCCCTTTTTTTCAAATGCGTTTCTTTCCTGCTAGCTGTAAAAATATGTTTTCTAGGAAATCGATATCTTAAAAATTCGAAAAGTGGAAAACCATGCTCCGAAAACAAAATACTTTCTTAGGTGTCATTTTGAGGGTGCAAAAATAGAAAAATTGATGTTCTGATACAAAACATCGATTTTATGTTCTACCTGTAAAATTAGGGTTTCATGAAAATAAATTCACCAATATAAACCCCCATTGGGATGCGCCCAGGACTTCAAATTGAACGATACGTCTCACTCGTTATTTGTGAAAATCTTCAAAATCTCAAAAATATTTTTTCACACAATTTTTTTCCGTAAATAAGGGGCACTACGAAATATATTCATGTCAAATTTCAGCCCTAATATCTGGACAAGTTTCGGTTGTATTCAAGACGGATGAATAGATAGATCATCTTAAAAAGTTCTAAAGACCCTGAAATTTTCATTTTCACAGAGTTCAAAATGGAAAGTATTTCAACATGTTATTTGCAATAATTTTATCTCGTCAACATCGAATGGGAATTTTGCTATGAATTATGGTGAAAATCGGTCCCTGTCTGAATGAGTCTCCTGAGTTATTAGCAATGGTATCATGGTTCTTGTTACCTGCTGTGAGAATATATGCGGATTCTGTAAGTTTTCTGATTTTTTCGAAAGTTTCTCTTGCGTCAAAATTTGTTTTACTTAATTTTTTACTTTATCACTCGTTGAAGTGAAACAGAATTGTCGTCAAGTACCTCACGTCGAAAGAAAAAACTCACTACTCACTAAGCAGGTGAGAAGTTCATTTCAAATGGTCATATAAAATATACTGTATGTTCATTTATTTGGACTATCAAATGTGACATCTGAACATTTCAATTTTTAAATGTTTGACAAAGGAAATATACCATCTATTTCATCTAAGGTGCTTCTTACAAGTGAATTTTTTAGGTTGTGAAAACGGTGATGGATTACTTTACGAAAAAGGGGGTCTTTTTGGAAATGCTCAATATTAAAATTTTATTTATCCAATCATCATTTTATTTGTAGGCAAAATTTGTGAAGAGGACAACTTACTGACTGATTGGACTCGTCAGTAATTCATAATACGCAGTAATTTTTAGAAATGAACTTTTCAGGTTGCCAGTTAGCAGAGTCAATATTGATTCAGCTTTGTTCATTTTTCTGTTTTTCAGTTTGTGAAAGGTTAAAAAAGCAAGAAACTTGGAGAAGATGATCTAAGTGAAATATCAGTTACTGTTTTTCCAGAATATACTGATTTATTTGGTACCAAACAATATAGTGAATTATCATTTTTCATTAATTCCATATACATTTCAATAACTTGGAAATTAATATAAAAAATATAATTTTTCGTGCAAATACAGTTCCAAAACCAAAACCAAACATGAGTAAACTGTTGAAAAACGTTTTGATTTTTGAAAAAGAGGAGTGAAGTAATAACTCATTTGTGTTCCTGAAATTATTGGGATTGATACGAGCTATATTCATCTCAAACTTTGCAAATGATATATCTCTCGCTTTAAGAAAGTGAAACAAAATCCTTATTCTTCTCGAGACGTAAGTAGTAGGTATATAAGTGAATACCTTATCAATTCATCAGTAATTTCGATTAATTCATGTTCCGCACAATGTAATTTTGAGTTCAAAGATTAATATGAAGAGAATTTTGAGGGCTTTCAATTTCATCTCAGTCGGCCAACTTATGATATGAATAATGAGGTGATTGTCACCCTCATTCTTGGGTGGAAGTAGTGGAATCGAGAATATTGAAGAGTGTCGAAAATCTACGAGACATTGCATTTTTATAAAACGTTGAAGCAGTTCCTGATTCATTTTCGTTTGGTCACCTAGTATGCAAAAAATACATTTCAGACATGTTAATTTACCTGTTCCACTCATTAGGCCATCTCTGAATAATAAATATTCCATAGCAGTTGCCCAATTCAACGGCGCACTATTTGTATCATTTATATTGAAGTTGATGGAGAAAGCTACGTGATTTTGCAGATTTTTTCCAACACCAGGAAGATCATGTATAACAGGAACATTCACTTTATTCAGTTCTTCTCTTGGACCAACTCCAGAGAGGAGAAGAATTTGTGGAGAGTTAACAGCACCTTAAATAGAGAAACAATTGTATAAGTGAAAAGTGAAAATCCCACTTTCAATAGGGATAATGTTGAATTATTTTTTTGAAATCAATTTCTATATAATCATATTCACCTCCTGAAACAATAACTTCCTTGGTAGAGTATATCATATTTTTCCTTCCTTTGTTGAGTACTTCCACTCCATAGGCACGTTTTGACGTGGGATCGATGAGAACTTTCGAAACGGTTGCATTCATGAGAATGTGGAGATTTCGTCTGTTTTTGAATGGTCTCAAGAAAGCTCTAGCTGTGCTGAGACGTGATCCATTACGATTTGTTGTTTGTGCTATATTGAAACCAGTATGATATATTCCATTCAAGTCTCGCACTGGATAACCTGAAAGAAACGATGTAGTACGTTATTCTCTCTCAGCTGATTGGCTATGCTATTGGAATAATGAAAAAAATATGATCTGAATATATATTCAATATCCAGTCGGAATTTGATTTTCGGATTGTGCGGTTATTTCAAGAATATTTGAATTTCCTTGAAACGACAAACCTTCATAGACACTGTATGTGATTGAAGTCAGAAGAAGGATATTTTTGGGAAGAATCTAATCTTTTCTTGAACATAACCCTCATTCATTTTGAACGGAATTCTAGGGAAATAATTTATCTGTCGCTTTGGAAAAGCGAAAAAAAAACCTCATTTGTGTTAGGACGTATGTAGTCATAAGTTTGAATATGTATACATGTAATCCTATGGATATTTTATTAGGTTTTTTCAAAAGTTTTACCGTTTCAATGTAATGTGTTTTTGAAGCTCCATGCGTCAGGGAATATTTATTGTATGTACTGTGTCGTGGTATATACTGAACGAAAGAAAATTTCATACTCTATATATTGATGCTATTTATTTTTTTTCAAAATGTTTGTTTCTTGCCTCTTTCTAGCTCATCAATATTTGATGTCGTTAAGCGTTTTTTGACCAATTTTTCTCTACGAATTGAAATTGAAACAAAGCGCTGCCTGAACAGCCCAACAAATTAACCAGGCATTTGGCAATGATAGTGTTAATGAATGGTTACTGTATTTCTCGATATTGAAGGAGCATATGACAATGCACTACCTGAATCTCTAGGATCTTCTCTGGCTAGGAAAGGTATAGAATTGACCATAACTGGCTAGATCTATACCATGCTAGTAAACAGAACTGCAACTACGACTCTTCAAGGTGGGGTCATTAGGTTTAGGGTCACCAGAGGCTGTCCTCAAGATGTGGCACTATCTCCCTTTCTATGGTAGCTCCTGATGGATAATCTGCTTGATGCCCTTGACACAAGAAAAGTACATCTGCAAACTTATGCAGATGACTTTGCCATCTTAGCAGGGTCCACGTGAGGAAGGATAGCTATTAATATCTTCCAATGCATGATGAACGTTGTTCACAGTTGGAGCTTGAGGGAACAGATGTCTGTCAACCCCAGCAAAACTGTGATAATCCCCTTGACCAGTGGGAGAAAATTGAACGATCTAACGCCACTTTGCCTCAATGGTGAGGTCATTCCATTTGGAACGGAGGTGAAATATCTTGGCATTGTCCTCGATGAAAAACTCACCTGGAATTCTCATTCGGAAAAAGTTTTTCACAAAGCCAGACTGTCCCTATGGAAGAATTTGTGGTAAAACTTGGGGTTTAGGTCCCAAACAAATCCACTGGATTTATGTGATGATTGTCAGACCAATACTCACTTATGGTGCAATGCCTGGTGACCGAAGGATTTACAGAAAACGGCCCAGGCGAAGCTCTCTGGCTTACAGAGACAAGCTTGTCTAGCCATCACTGGTGCTATGAGTACCACACCGTCCGCGGCCATTGAGATTCTTCTAGATCTACCTCCTCCCCACATTTTTTTTTGAAAGAGACTAGATGGATTGCATATAGACTTATGCACATTGCCAATTGAACAAATCAATATAATGTAGAGTGCAACAGACTGTTGCACTTATGCTCGTCAACTTATGCCTGTCAACTACGAACTGCCTTATAAAGTACTGTTCCCGAGTAGAGAGAAATGGATCCTCCGGAAGAAGGAAATATTAAGAGCAGATACTTGTTGGTTCATAGATGGATCAAAAACACCTTCCGGTTCTGGTGAAGGTGTTTTCAGGCGCAGACCCAGGACAGATATATCAACCTGTCTAGAAACCTATGCGGCTGTAATTCAAGCGGAAGTTTACGCTGTTGAATTGTGTGCGGAGAGATTGGAAGAATCCAACCTCATACACAAGTCAATGAAAATATTCTCGGACAGTCAAGCGGCGTTCGAAGCTCTTGGCTCCTACTAAGCAACGTCCAAAACGACTCTCCTCAATAGACATACTTAACAGATTGTCTCTGGTCTAGATTCCTGGCCATACTGGCCTGGAAGGCAATGATGCTGCTGACTCTCTTGCAAAGGAGAGAGCTGCAAGCACCTTTATTGGACTAGAACGAGCCAAACAAAGATTGAACATCTAATGGCAAGAAGATTTATGGACTTCTGGCATAATCTTTCAGGATTGGCTCACTCTAAGGCGTATATTTTACCCTTCGAAGATTGATACCAAACAGTTGTTGGACTACAGTGGGGATGAACTACGATGTCTAACAGGCCTTCTTACAGGTCACTGTCATTTGAATCATCATATGTAGAGACTAGGGCTGTCGGAAGACATTGTGTGTCGCCTCTGTTTGAATAATGTTGGAACAGCAGAGCCCATACTTTGTGCCTGTCCCGCTGGTGAGCGAATTGGGTTTTGAGCCGTATGGCAGAGCCGTACTCTTACCATCTGACCTGAAACTCACCATATAAATTAATCGGTTTCGTTAAAAGCTGTTTATTTGGTCGAGCGTGAATAGGTGTGAGCCACAATAAACTCTTGCGGGTTGCGGTGAAGGGTCGAATAGACCTACTCGCTTTGGACCTAACCAGAGACATAACCTAATAAACGTACTGTTTGACGTTGGTTTGCGAAATTTCATTCCGGAGTTTTTGCCTCGAAGATGAGCACCAGAGTGGTCGACCTACAGCAATCCAGGACGAAGATTTGAGGACCCTAGTGGAGACTGATCATCACAAACGATGCGTGGAATGGCGGAAGAACTGGTCAGGTCCCCTGCGGTTTTTGATGATTTGAAACGTGTTGGAAAGATTGAAAAGCTCGAAAATAGGGTTTTCCGTGGTTTGAATGATCTACAGAAATTGTCAAGTTTTGAAGCCTGCTCTTCTTTGCTCTTCCGCAACCAAAACGATCCTTTCCTGAATCGGATCGTCACGTCTGATGAAAAGTTATTCCTATACGACAACAAGAGACTTTCAAAAGAGAAAAAGTCGCCAAAAAACATAATGAAAACTGTATGATTGTAGGCGGCTGATGTGAATACGCACGACGGGCGTTGTTGTGAATCAGCATCTCTTCAAGCACTTCGATAATTTTCTCATCGGTAGAACTTTCGCCAATGAGAACTAGGCCAAAACGGCGTTCGTCAACTTTATCGAATCACGAGCACAAAATATTTATGCTGACGGAATTAATCGACTTGTGTTACGTTGGCAAAAGTGCACTGATCCGAATGGCGCTTATTTCGATCAAATTGCATAGATAGTCACTGAGATATTACACTTTGAAGTAGACTTATTGTCATCGTAATAAACGTTTATTTGACTATTCCTTTGACGCAAAGTTGTGATCTTGTGCGAGAAACGCGTGTGTTTTTGTCTCCAAAACTGCCGATGAACCGTTGAAAATGAGTGTTTTAGACCCGAAACACCAAGAAGTACACCTTAAGGATGATATAGTTTCACCTCAATGGAATTTTTAAATCACTGGTCGTATGATCTTCCATATATAATGTTGTGTGGCGTTTCTGTGAAAGATATCCGATTCAATTTCATATTGAATCTTAGGAGCTGAATGGGGAAAAGTGAATTATTCGAAGGAAACAACATTACAATTCAATGTTTATGTGAAAGCAACGACTGACATCATTCAGTACCACTGATAATGCTTGTTGCAGTAACAAATGAAACTTTTGGTACTTCAGGTTCAGGTTGATTAGCCTACCAGCCCGAATTTAGTTTTCTTTATTCGTGGCATCCGCTGTTAAAGCATGTATTCCGATTCATTCGAAGGTGATTGACAATGTTTCATGATGAATTTCACTAGTTCGGACTTCCATTGTCTAATATATGAAATTATTTGAAATCCCAGAAACAACTGAAAAAAATAAGAATTAAAAATGAATAGCTGAAAATAACAATTATATTAAGCAAAAATAACCTGAAATGAAATAATAATGAAATAAAATACAAGTAACAATAGAACGATTGAACAAAAAATAAAGAAATAAAATAAATAAAAAGTAAGAGATTCCAATTAAGAGATGTATATATTAGACAATGTATTCCGATAATATGTCTGATAACTAGACCACCTTCGAAAAAAACTTTAACATATTGTGAAAAATGTTCATGAAGGATGATAATTGCAGAATGTCACAAAAAAAACAGAAAACAATTATCACTAATCTATTGCTATTCATCGATGAAACACAATCACAACACAAATACTTCAAAGCCCTAAAGAAGTCTTATAAGAGCGTATTTTTTCATAATTTCCTCTGGTTTGATAAATATTCCTGAACCTTCATTTGTTAAATATTCAAGAGGAGGCATTCACAATCTGGTGTAGAGTGATCATTTACTATTTTGGAATTCAACATTATTTTCAATGAATAGCGATCCAATATGTCAAAAACATATACTACTTAAACTTCAATCATAGTAAAGTCAATTGGCAATATTCGTTGAAATAACGAAACTTTTTGATTTTTTTGAAACTTCTGTTTTTGATTTTTGATATATTTTGAACTGAAATGAGTCATAAATAGAAACGTAAGCGTATCCATTTTAGTTCATCGCTACGGTAGGGCTTAGTTCAATTTATTCTTGGGAAATTATTCATCATCTGATACACTTGTTGAGCTTCAAATTTTCCACAATATTTCATTGACCAGCGAAAAATGGAAGTTTCAAATATGAAGATATACAATTTTCATTTCATGAGTTTCTTTCAGTTTCTTACCTAATTCTTGAGCCCCTTTCAGAATAGCTTTGGATAAAGGGGGATGATATGGGAACTGTGACACCGTAAGCAATCCTCCTTTTGCATGATATCCTTTATCCATCTGATCCATTTGTTTATTGTCCTCACTTTTTAAAAAATATGGCAGGACCTCGTTGTAACTCCAACCGTCATTGCCCAGGGCTGCCCAATCATCGTAATCCTTTCTGGATCCTCTCATATACATCATTCCATTCATTACCGACGTACCACCTAAAACCTATAGTAACCCCCTCTCAATATTAAATTGAACTATTTCGAAATATTGAAAACATTTAACGAAAAAGAGAAGACGGAGTGTTTCTATGACCTCAATAATATATCAATGATGTATCGATACTTTAAACAACAGTGTTTTTGTTGTGTTCTCACGAAACTAATTTATACGGATGAGATGTTTGCCTTGGTAATTTTTGGCATCCAAACACAGCGGGTGGCTATTTTCACGAATGACATAGTCTCACATTATAAACGCTATCTTACTTTATACCCGAATATAATCTGGAATAGAATATACAAAATTATACTTGAAAATTACCTTTAGAATCGTTAACGGATATACAATGTTTACAATTCGATCCTCAGAATCTGGGAAACTATGAGAGATACGAAGATGGGGCAATGTTCCGCATTTACCTGACAATATGTCATTGAGAAAGTTCTGAAATTCCGTGTATATCCGGAGATATCCGGAAAAATCAGAAATATCGGGAAATGGATTTTATTTTTTCTGGCTTTATTTTTCGGAAAATTCGAAAATAAATTACACTTTCACATTGCCACTTTTTCCCTACTACATAATGGTGTTTTCAGATTTGCTCTCCGACGTTTCGTCTTCCGGTTACATTGGATTCTTTCTCTTTTGAATAGAACCAGATTTTACTTTTTCAATGATGAATCATAAGTTATCATTCTTTTTCGAAAAATTAGAGATATTGAAAAAAATTGATTCTTTCATAATATGCTTTGACTTTTATGTTTCTAAATTTGACATTCAATTTGTTACACTCAAAAACATTTTGTACTTGTAAATGTCATTGAATTTTTGGTGAAAAATGGCTTGCAGGAATGACGAAAAAAGATATATGATACATATTCATTACAAATCCGATAAAAACAGTGTTAAGACATTGAAAATGTATTTAAAGTGGTATCCCGAAAGACGACAACCACATCAAACTATGTTCAAGTTATTGGATGGAAATCTCACAGAACTTGGTTCATTTGAAAACCCGAGGAAAAAATACGGAACAGAATGGACCAGGAAACTGAAGAAAATTTGATAACTGAGGTAAGTTAGGTAAGACATTGTGCCCTTTTTAATAAAAATTAATAATTTGCAGATAAACATGAACCAGGAAAAATCTACACTTCAAATTTCATCCAACATAAATATTTGTCATACAAGTGCTTGAAGACATAAAAAAAACGGTTCAAAGTGTTACAAAATACACGTATTTTAAAAATTGCATCCAGGTGATTCCGAAAGGCGATTAGAATTTTTTAATTGGCTAAAAAAAAGACTTGATTTTCCTGTTTTCCTGGAAAATCTAATTTGGACAGATGAAAGCACTTTTACGAATTGTGGAATATTCAACCGAAATAAAGAACATATTTGGAGCATAAACAACCCCAGGCAGTTCCGAGAAATTCGACTTCAAGTGCGATTCAGTACAACCGTGTGGGCAGGAATTTTCAAAGATAGAACTTTGAGTTCTCATTTATTTGACGGAATTCTGAATGGAGAAACTTATCACCAGTTTTTAATGTCGATTTTCGAAGACTATTTGGATGATCTGCCTTTGGCTAACTATAACAACGTCTGGTTTCAACATCATGGTGCTCCACTACACACTACCAGATGAGTATCTAATCAGCTGACTGATAGGTTTGGTGATAAATGGATAGGGAATAATGGGCCGGTGAGGTAGCTAGCAAGGTCTCCAGACTTAAGTGTTATGGATACATTCTTATGGAGTACACTAAAAAATAGAGTTTATGGTTAGAGGAAATATCAAAATATTGGGGACCTTCAACACACGGCAGATTAAGAAAGACAGAAATCAATCGTGCAGTAAATAATATTCATTGAAGGGCACATTTGTGTTATCATGAACAAGGCCAGCATTTTGAGCATTTGCTGTGATTTACATTTGTCTTTACAGTTTAGTTAATTATTGTTATTTGTTCAAAGTTCCATTTTCATCGAAAATGACACAATTTACCTCATACACACCTCATTTATCAAATTTTTATTGTTTATTCTCTCTCAGTTTTTTTTCATTGGCTTTTCAAACGAAACAAACTTGGTGAGATTTCGATCCAATAACTTGTACATAGTTCGATGTGGTTATCGTCTTTCGAGATACATGTTTAAATACATTTCCGATGTGCTAACACTGTTCCTATCGTATTTGTAATACATTTGTATCATGTCATATCATACAATAACAAAATGTCATTGAGTGTTACGAATTGAAAGTCAAATCTGGAAACATCAGAGTCAAAGCCTATTATGACAAGAACAAATTTTTTTCAATATCTCCAATTTTTCGAAAAAGAATGATGAATTTTGATACATTATTGAAAAGTTAAAATTTGGTTCTATTCAAAACAGAAAGAATCTAATGTAGCGCCCAATTTATTTTCGAATCCTCCGAAAAAAAAGTATTTTCCGAAATTTCTCTTTTTTCCGGATATCTCCGGATTCACGCGGAATTTCAGAACTTTCTCAACGGCATATTGTATCTCCCATAGTTTCCGAGATCCCAATGGTGAGGATCAAATTTGAAACACCCTGTATGTCACAACAAAATCAACTTTCCAAATCACTAACATTAAATGTTGACAACTGTACTAGTTTGATATTCGTATTCAATACGTTCTCATCAAGTTTTTTATTCAATTTTTTCACTATTCTCCAAACTTCTATATTTCTGTAATATTAACTTCAACTTCTGTGATATTGATGTTTTAATGGAGAATACTTCCAAAACGAAACCAAAATATTGCAATTCAAAATTCTGGTTTAACAGATAACATACATAGAAGAACACTTGTTTATGTCATAAGGGTGATTCTAATAAAAATATCTCCTAGATGGATATGATGAAAAATTTCAATATATAATGGAAATGAGTATACCTATAATTTCAATGATATATTATTATTTTTGCTACACTGCTTTCTTAGAGATTTCAATAGTGCAGAGATAATGATAAATTATTGCCGTCGTCAGGTCGAAAGACCTTGAACTACTGGAGTTCATTTCGGGTAATAGTTCATTGAGATTATCGAAATGAATATTTTTATTTTGAATATTACAGATGAATGTTTTGTATCAATTGAAATGGGGCGATGGCCTTCAGACAATTGCTGTTATTTCAACATGAAAAAGAAACAATCAACCTTCTTGAAAATTGTTTTACATCGTAATAAAGAACTTCTAATAAGCACCCAATCGAAATCACAAAATTACATTTGAAACTCATCATTAGAATCGTAAAAGAGTATATGCTACAACAAAAACAACTTTCCAGAATACTGATAATTAGAACAGTTTGAATATTCAACTTTCGCGGTCCCGAGAAGATTCATAATTCTCAGTTTGTAAACGATAAATATAAATTGTTGCCTGGAAGAATACAAATCCATATCCTTCTCCGTCAGTAATTCGCACCCCATTTTTGTCACGTATCTTTCCTAATTGTTGAAAAAAACTATCTACCTTTGGGCTCAATTTTCTCTACAAACCCGAACTTGGTCAATATCCTGGTACTGTTAGTTTTTTTTAACGTATTAGCCATTGCTTCAGCAAGCCGCCACTGTTTTCATATTGAAATTTCTTCAACTTTTATGTTCACCTGTATTACAATGAATTATATTTCTTCACAAAAATACTGTCTCTCGACGCGCGTTTTGCTAACCAAGTTAGCATCATCAGGAGATGATTAGGACTATTTCTACAAACTACTACGCTGAGGTTATTATACGAATCGAAACGAATTTTCATCTGACATAATGAAGATCATCAAAAATCAATTCCAGAACTTGTTATGTGATGTAATTGTTATGTAATTTGCTACCTGAAATATCTAATTTTTACTTGTTTTCTATCTGTGATTACGTAAGAGTGCGAAAAGTGGGATGTTAGGTATGATACCTTCATACATTCGTTTCTTTTTCTAAACTTTCGAAGGTAGATTTGTTGTCACGTATCGGTCTCAATAAGACCATGTTCCACATAATTAGCTAGACTAGAAAAGTCCAGTGTTGCTCAACATGCCATACAAAATGGCCACAGAATGAGTGACAAATGCAACCGTCTTTTGCACTATTATGTAATCACAGGTAGAAAACAGGTAGCGAGTAAATATAGGTACTGGAAATTAGTTTGATGAGCTTCATTACGTAAGACCATCTTTTGCCTAGATACGAAAGGAAACATCCGCATAGTCGATTCATAAGGTGAAGCTTTCCACACAGTTGAACTCTGATGAATCAGTTTTTTTAAAGACCAAACAGAAGCACTACAGAAAAATCTTTGAGGCGCTCTTAGAGCGGAGCATGTGCGAAAGTAGTGATTCACATTGGATTTTAATCGCTGAAGATTGAATCCATTTGGAAAAACGTTCCCAGGAAATTTATTCCACATAAACACAGTTCTCCAGATGAAAGAGTTTTTAAACAGTCAAGTTCGAGGTGTACTGAGTTGAACTGTGCAGCTACAGTCTTGGTGAAATCAAATATGCCAAGTCACTTGAACACTTCCCATGAAAGTATCTGTGGATGAGTGACAAATTTCCAACCTTCTTTTGACGTTTCAGAAGATCAAAGTTGCACGTGATGTTCGCGTCTTCAATCACGCGGATCGCTTTTTTCTGAATGGAATTCAACAACTTCAAGGTATTTTTGGGGACAGAGCTCCATACACAGGAACAATACTGAGGTGTGTACAGTTTTCTAGTTCGGAACAGTGTTCCAAGCTTTTGAGAAGCAGTCTTTGCAATTCCAGCAACATGATTGTACCAAGACATATTGCTGTTCATTTCAACCCCCAACTAACTTATCGAAGCAGAAAGCGGAATTGTCTGACCTGACGTTATCATATCCGATTCGTAGACATTTATCTTTTTGGAGGAAACCGATGCATGGGTTTTTATAGCAATGAATTGAACATGGTCATTTCCTCACCAATTCAAAATCAGTTCTAGATCCCCATCCAGATACTTCCTGCTGCCGGT